TTTTTCTTGACACTTCATCAGTATGTAAATCATTATATAACTAATATCTTCAAATGTTTGAAAACAATTTTATTCCCATTTTCTATTCAAGAATCAATGGGACAAATTGAGAACCATGTTACGCGTAAAGAAGAGTTTTACAAAATATACATGTCTTTTTGTGATTGGACAGTTAGGAAAAAAATAAAAAAGCATCCACTCAAATGCTGCCGCAGCACCTGTAATTGTTCTAAGGTAAGTCAACAGGAACGTCGTACCAATCTCGAGAATATTTGACTGTACTGCACTCTTAAGAACCCCACCAGCTCTCCCGTCCCCAATAAAGTAAAAAGAAAGGGATATAAAGAGGGACAAAAGAGAAAAAGTTGTTGAATAAAACTTGCCTTTGGCATTTATCATCTGTATCGCTCAAAGTATACTATTTCCAACCACATATTAGACAAGCGATTCGATGTCGATAATTTCAGTCTTAGGTTTTCGTTTTGTATTTTTTCCATGAAATGATATTGATAGTATTGGAGGAGATGAGATTATCCACTTTTGGCCTTTCAAGCTCTTTCTTCTGATCAGTTATGACCATTTTCAATGAAGTTTCATTTGTAAGTGTTGCTGTTATATTTGGATACCAATTAAGATGAAATCTTTGAGTAGAGTAGGGCTTGGTTTGAGTGTTGTTTTGGGGTGTTTATTACTGGCCCTTATTGCTGAGCTTTACTATTTGTTATGGTGGAAAAAGAAGATCACAGAAAGTGGTAACGACGAAGAAGAAGATAGTTGCCACAGTGGTACGGGAAGAGAGTTGTTGTGTTGCAAAAAGGCGTCATCGAGTACTAATGCTCAACAATTGTGTACCTCTAATACTCTCGTCCATGAACCACAACCTCATCGTCACCTTCATGTCTATTCAAATCTCAAGCCATTCGGAGAAGATTTATCAGGCGTGGAGGCTGAAATCAGGATGCTGCAGCAGAATTTTTCCGGCCCACCAAGATTTCTCTTCACTATAACAGAAGAAACGAGGGAGGAAATGGAGTCCGAAGACGACAGGAAGAGCGCGAAGAAATCGAGAAGTAGGAGTTTGAGTGATTTAGTTGAGATTGTTGAAACTCCATTCTTAACTCCTTTAGCTAATTCGCCTCCATATTTCACTCCTCCTTTGACTCCTAAACATAATCAAAAGCAGGGTTTTAATCCGTTCTGTGAATTAGCAAGTGATGCAGCGTTTAATAGTTGTTTAAGGTCTTCTTCACCACCTCCAAAGTTCCAATTCTTGAAGGATGCTGAGTACAAGCTTCAGAGGAAACAACTAAATATGAATGATGAATCTGTTCAACTTGAAGTCCCTTCAACTTCAATGTTCATAAAAGACGAGGAAAATGGGTCATTCATCACACTCATTGTAGCTCAAAACAAACAAGAAGAAGAGACTAATGGAGTTAACAATTCAAGCACTAGTTCACAGGTTTTTTCTCTACCTTCTTCCTCTCTAAACTTCAAATTACCATCCGACAGGCGGCCGATGCATCAGAAGCTCAATCAAAACTGAAACAGTGGGAGATTAGTGAAGTTTAAGTTGTTTTTTTTATATAATTGATTGATTGCGAGTCACACGAGTAGAGGTGTAAAACAGGCCTAGACCGCCGCGGTCTAGTGGTTCGGCCTACTTGTATGTAAAATGACAATGGTTCAGGTTAGAAAGTTTTAAAACCATAAAACAGTCTTGAGTACGTCTTGATGATAGTTATAGGTTATTGTAAAAGGTGAGTTAAGCTTTTTATTTTTCCAGCTTCGTAATGATTTCATAACCTTATTTTTTGGTTGTCAAATGAAAGACGTGATTTAATATCATTATTTATTTTTCTATTTTATTAAGAAAGTTGAAAAGAAATAATATTAAAATTTGTGGGTCGGCTATGTTTTGGATTTTTGAAGAGAACAAAATAGACAATGGCCCGTGATCACATCTCGTGTGTGAAACCGAAAGGTACCCAACTGGAAAATCATTTGGTCTTTACTTTTTCTTGGCCAATTGATTATCAACTGTTGAAAAAGTTCAGGCTGCACATGACTGGCTCCAATGTTCTCTATCTGTATCTGCAGTATATATCTATATATATCGGACAGAGAAAGGCCACTTGGATAACTAGGTAAGGGAGTCCGGTAAGAGATTAGCAATAGACATATTCTAACCTTTGCTTGACACTACCATATAGTAGTAAAGAGACCTAAGTCGAATTAGGACATTTGTACTCGTCGTGCTAGATTGAACCAGTATTAATAAGGAATATTGATTCTAATCGATCTCACATAGGAAAAGAGGCACCAAGGTGGGGCAGTTTCTTTTCCATTTTTTATATGCTTTCGAAAGATCTTTGATGCCAAGTTCTTCTAGAAGACGTGTGGAGCTACTTATAGCAAGTAGAAAAGTACGCAGAACAAAGAGTTGAGTGGGACGAAGAAGATTGTCATCAAATCCAAAAGCGTGACATGACAACTTTTCAGTTTATGTACTCAACAATGAACCAAATACATCACATACCTAACATTCAATATTGTCAAATCAGAGTTTCAAGGGCGTGATGCCTTTTACATCACATTGCAAGAATGAATGATTTTATATGATTAGGATCCAATCATTCATACTTTATGCTTACTATCTCGCAAAGGGGTATCTCACAAAGGTGTATCATATATATCACGAAATCATACAGAACACACTTGACCTTTGGGTGTCTTAAGAGTCGTTAAGCCCAGCCCCTGGACAGAGAGCTGCTACTGCAACTCGCACTTTGAATAAAATGGCTGAAATTTTCGATGAATAGTGTTATCAGTATTGCACTAGGCTGGAAGCTGGCTGAGGCAAAAGGATTTCCAGAAGTGTGATACTTGTGTAACGGGAAATCAAAAATGACAATAATATTTTGAAAAGGAAATGGCCCGAGATTTATAATGATAACATAGCAATCACCACGTTCTCTCTTATACCAACAATTGTCCTCAAAATACTGTCAGCTTCTCTAAGTAGCATTGAGGCCTGATCCAAATGATGCTATAACAGTGAAAAAAAAAAAGAGATAATTGTTAAGTCAGAGTCCAATTGCCGCAATAGTTGTTATTCCCAGTTCAACACATAAATCATTGACATCAGGTTCCTTCAACAGACTAAATGCACAAAATCCATAATAAGAATGGTAAAGATCTGGCAGCAAACCCGGGAATTTACTGAAACCACCATACTGACATGAAGAAGAAAAAGAAATCATCAGTTCGGAGAGAGTTTCTGGAAAATATAGAAGCTACTACTGCTGAATTGTAAATGAGCTATTCTTGCTATACTTCTTAAATGGACAGCAATACAAGAATTGGGGCTCTGAAGAATTTTACCATTACCATCTTTTACATCTTCATAGGAAAGAATTAAGTAATGCAATAACAGTCAGCTTCTTTACTAAATCCAAGCAACCATCTTCAACATACTTCTTTGCTAAAACCAAGCAACCATCTTCAACGTACAAAGTCATTAAATCGTGAGTCGTGGACATTTGACCCACAATCCGAGGCCTAACAAAAATTCAAGCCAGCTTGCGAGCTTTCTGAGCTTGGCAAACGCTATGCTCAACTCAAGTTTATTCAAGTCCAACCTGAGCTAGAGGTTGATGGTGGCAGCTCGCAAACATTGAATAGTGTGCATATATAAATAGTTAACCGGTAAGAAAGTGAAATTTAGTTTTCATATTCTCAGCTTCAGCTTAACTTGAATTAGGCTCAAATCATGCTTAAGTTCAAACTCCATACTTCTCTATTCAGCCTATCTCAAGCCTCAACATCTTAGGCTCAGTCTCAAGAGCCTGGCATAGTTCTCCTACCTTATCCATAACATTACCAGGCAGGCAGACACCATGGTGTGGTCAAATATTAAAGAAAGAGAAGGTTGTAAAGGTCAATATTCTCATGTCATGAAGTTGCATGCACGTGTGCATATTCATGTGTTTCTGTAATCATATGAGATTTTTTGGGCAAACTAGTAGTTTACAATGCCATAAATCCAAACTACTATAGTTTTGTGCAATTGCTTGGACCCTATAGTCATAATTGACATATTGTATATATAATATAAATATAGGCAACCTAAACAAAAAAGGAGAAAAGAAAGCACCTCTGATTGACATGTTAATAGAAATTCACGCAAACCTCCCTCATCAATGAATTTATCTGCCCCCAAGATCCTTAGAACTCCTCCAACCCTATACAAGCACAAACCATTGTGAAGTCATGAAAAACATATTGAATAAACTGAGCATATGCAAGGGTCATTCACCATACCAAAAGGCATAACATGTATCAGCTGACTTGTTTGTTCTACCTTGAAAGCCCCCATCTTGTGCCTGCCTCTGCACCAAACAAAAAACAGTGAAATCATTCTCTATCAGAGCAAAACACAGATTCAAAATATAGCAAGGAACTCATTAATATCACGAGAAAAGGGGTGAGTTTTGGAAGTATTGATTAACAAAATAGATGTCCACAGGGAGCTTGACTATCCTCCATTTTCCATGAACTAAGGTGAAGCTTAGTCATCGTCCTCTAAAGTAAATTAGAAATAAACCTGCAAGCTCCAATAAATAAGCAATGGCACATTTATGGTGCAAGAAGATGCATTTTTGGACAGTATCTCTTTATCAATAAATCCCATCAGTCGGAGAGCTGCAACAGCACAGTAAGTGGCACCACCTGTGACACTAAAAGAATTACCATCCGTAAGTGTTAACAATGTGCACAAAATCAAGTAACATTCATGGTTTGATGTTTCCAGTTTAGCACAGCTTCAGTACCTTATTCAAAACATCGAGGTAAAAAATCATTAGAAATAAATACTACACTAGTAATAAAATAAACAGAGACATGGCCTATTGTTTAAGATATCTCAAACCAAGAATAATGATACCCACTTCTTATTGAACTAATCAATTGCAACAATAGGTAATCTTTTAAGAAGATAAGAGATCCAAAATACAGTAAAAGAGAGATTGACCGCGGTAGGCGACAATAAACCATGATAACCAAGGCTTTGATACCAAATCTTATGCCAGTTTGGATAAAATTAAAGGAAATTAACATATCTCATCATCTAAAGGGGTCTTGGCAAGGGATACAGGGCAAGGAAAGCACAATTTCAATGCAATCCACCAAAGAGATACAGATTTTCTAAAATGGAAGTAGCCTTAATATTCCTCTCTCTCAAAAATTGTCTTCAGAATACACAAGTAGTAGGACAATGCTATTTAATGAGCATACACGTATTCTACTAATACAATAGTTTTATACATGAATCCTAACTAATACGCTAAATCCATCATCCATATTCGAAGTTGGTTGAAAGATAATTATTGTGGAGCATCAATATTCAATTAATCATTTTCAAGATTCATCTACACACACTCCTGTGTCACCCAGCTAACCAAAATAATGCTGGGATGATAACATCTGAGAAATGAGTTACATTTGGGGCAACTCCCGTTAATTTTCATTCTCATTCCCATTCTTTATTTCAACCACACATTCTCCAAATAAAATGATATTACACACAAATCAAAAAAAGTTCATCACTTTTCCACCACACATTCTCACATCAATCACTATTCCAAAATTTCTATTCTCCTCAAAATTAGATTCAAACACAAGCATAAATTCACTCAAGAGTGTAATGAATCATATCTTGTTATCAAGCAAACAAAATTTTACAGGAACGAACACATTAAGTAATTATAATGAATTTCTTGCAGGATTGAAATGTGATTCTGAGGAATCTGTAGGTTAGTTCTTAAAATTATCTCCCAGGCCCCAGCAGCTCAAATCTTAATTCTCTCTCTTAATAGTAGCAACTATAAAATAAGAAATTACCTTTGGTTAAATATTTAAAATCATAAGAGAAGTTAAATTGACCGCCCAATAATTTACTGGAGGTAATTTATCATCAAGGCTATATACTAATCATGTTGACACAGATATTTACCAACTATCAATGATATATAAGCCCGTGTTTGTCTACCATCATTACAAAAAATTGTTTGCTATAGTAAGATTCACCACCACACATTCACCCAATAAAATATTCTACACACAAACCAATAAAATTACTTTAAATTTCAACCACACATTCTCCAAAAAATACTATTCATTACTCTATTTTTCTCCCACCAATGGGAGACAAAACACACCATAAATTCGATAAGCCCTAGCTTAATAATTCTCATGAGATACCGTCCTGGGCACAAATCTGTTCTCAGGCAGCAATAATAATAATAATAATAATAATAATAATAATAATAATAATAATAATAAAAAAGTTCGTTGTTGACTGCATATAAAACCTCAATGCTGAAAACATGTCTTTTACTACATTATTTTCTATATTTTGTCTTCCCCCTATCCTGTTTCTAGTGGTGGTGGTCACATCAGGGACTTTGAAATTGGAAACCCCATTATTGTTAGCCATGATATACTGTGGCATATGCAGAAGAATGTCCAGCTGCTTCTACAAACTTCTGTTGTTGAGTGAACAAAAATTTAGCATGACAGTAGTGTTCTAATCTATGAACAGAGTTATCAATGAAGGCTGATTCCAGCAGAAAATGTCAACTCAGCTCAAACTTCAAGACACGACTTTCTTTCCCCATCAGATCATAAAAAAGCATCTACATGGTAACTTTTTGAGAAAAAGGTGCAGGAAACTCATGACATGATTAGATAGATGAATGTGAAGCCAGTTGATATAGGGTTACACAAGCAATATACCAGCTAGTCAGACCAAAAAAGAATAGGAACTTTTTATTCACTCACCATGAGATTCTGAACCAGGTATCAACCCAAAACCACCATCATATGACTGCAATGCCCATGAAATAATTTAAGAACTTAAAATTATTATTCTGAGAAGAAAACATCAGAATATAATGAAAGATGCCATAACAGAAAAGAAAAGAGGTACATCAAATAAGAAGAACAGAAGACGGCTAAAAGAATGCTATACCTGGCAACTTGTGATGTAATTCTTAGCTTTCTCCCTGTCCATGCCACTCCAGTTCTTCAACATGGAACAAATTGCCGCTGCACCAAATATTTGGCTACTTTATATTCAACAGCAACTAAAACTCAAACAAATAATTGTAAAGCATCCTCTTACCTGCACAAAATACAAATCGGAGATCCGTCTCTGCCCCAATATGAATGGGCATAAAACTGGGACAGATGAGATATAACGAGAGTCAGATAATCAGAACAGTTTTTGAGATAAGTTTTATTAGTCCAGTCTTTCAAGCTATAGTCAGAAAAGGATATAGTAAAATTCTCACCATGTCATACTTCAACCTATTAAATGCTACAAAACTTTGATAACTTATTTTTCACTTTTTCAGTTAAACATTTACTGGTCTAAGGGTATTTTCATAAAACTAAGTTACAAGATGAATTTTACTTAGACCAGCCATGCTTCAGCCTTCAGGTACCAAATAACAGTGAAACATACTAGTATCGTTCTTTAATAAATTGAGTTAGACAATGACACCGAAAGGAAACAAAAGGGATAAAAGCATGAAGGAAGATCGAGATGAGGTTTCTTTTAATCAAAATATTTAAATTCCACTGGACTGTACTCTGTGCTTCCTAGAAAATTTTCGTGAATGAAGTTGTACAAGGCTGTTGTCATGGCACCTAGGTGCGATCACCGGTAGTACTTTTTTTCCTTTCTCTCTCTCTATTTCTATTAACTAGTAAATACTGTATAAACCTTATAAATGTATAAGATGATAATTTTCTCCTATTCTAGAGCACTGATAAGTGATAATTGAGCCTAAAAGTATTAGTATTCCATAAACAGATAGTGGGTAAAAGTAGCTACTGAAATTACGTATTTATAATCTATATTATACATTTAATGGAGGAGCTCTTGAGTAACTTGGATTTATAGACAAATTTGATTAGTCTAAATCATTCATCTAAACATGGAACCACAAGAGCTTTTGCCTGAAAACAACACAAATATATCATTAATAGAAGGCAAACTAAATAAATAAAATGTTAAATGAATATATCTGAAATGCTGTGCCCTTGTGGTATGACATATTGCATATCCACATTATACACCACTTCATCAACAATTATTTCACACAGCATGTTTGGCTAAGCTTAAAAAGTATACTTGTAAATACATTAGTAGGTTTTTGAACAAATATTTTTTAATGGTCAATGTTGAAAATAATTTACTCATTTTAACTGGAAGGCTTGAGTTACTTTCAGAATAAGTACCTTTTTTTATTTAAAAAGTAACAAAGCAAAAATTTATCAGAACATGTTTAGCAAAACATGCTCATAGACCAGGAACAACTGCATCCTGGTTCCTTCAGCATTTTCCACATCCATCATCTCCCTTTCATACTCATTTTCCATCATTCTAAAGGGAAGTGTGCACGAAGAAGAAGAAAGCCATCGTGAGAACTAAATTCGTGGGCATCTGATTGACCAACATAAAGTTTCTTTCACTTATTCTCACTTCTTGTAAAATAGATTTTAATTCTCTCCTTCTCCAATAATTATTTACCCTGAAAATCACTAATATGCTGATTTAATTATTTATGTCTCACTATAAATCAAGTATAAACGCTAAGATATTTTATGTTTTTAGAGGAAACAATTCAAACTAGTGTCAGTTTTTGGTCTATCTCCATTTGTTGAGCTAAAGTACCACCATCTCCACACATATATAAGCCTGTGTAACTACCCACTTCTCCATATTGTGAAACACTTAATCTAAATAAGTCATATTAAACTTTTAGACGAGGTGGTTCAACATAACATAAGAGAATATAGAGTTCATAAAATCAAGCCTCCAAGCCATCCATTTATGAAAATTGTGTGCACACCAGACTTGGATGAAAAAAGAATTTGTTCTACACGTGAAGGGTGTGATGGTGTAAACTAATCCACTGTTTGGTAAAAATTAAAATCCAAATTTTAATCTAAGATAAATTCAACAATTAATTTTAATTACATATTCTATGGGACCCACAACTTTTCAACCTCACATTTCATCAACTTCATCAAAATTTACTAAAAAATTGATTTTAATTCCCACCAAACAGAGACTAAATTTAAATAAATAAATGTATCCCTTCTCTAGAAACTTAAACTTGATTTTTAAATAAAAACTATTTAAAATAACGAAAATATACACCAACAAGTGGAAATTAACAGCAATGACGAAGTAAGTGGTTAAGACATGTCCTGCATGTGTCTAGAGAGGAGCAGGTCTGAAGAGGACGAGAAGAGAAGTGTTGGGTAGAGAGGAAGATAGCGTGTTGTGGAGGGTGCCTAGATTCTTCATATCTTCAGAAGTTGACTTAAGTCATTTTGCCCCTTCCCTACAATTCTTTTACACAATCCCAAACGTGCTACAAATCTAGTAACAACCAGTTATTAGAACAACCAAGTAAAGCATTACGTAGCTTACCTCCCGTCAGGCTGCTGAAGGTTTCTCATTGATCCCAATAAAGATTTGGAGTCAACAAGTGATAAATCATGGCCAACAGTCTTTAATATGGCTAAGGCACAGTAAGTGCTTGCCAGGTGACTTCCATTGGGGATTGCTACCTGCAAGTGGGAAAAAAAATCTAAAATAATGCATTCAATAACTGTTACAACAAAAGAGAACACACCATTTTAGAGGATTTCTGCAGAAATCACTGTGTATAACCTGTTCATGTACCCCATCATCAGTAAAATGATATTGAGAGCTTCTAGAACCATGGAAACCATAAAATTGTCCTGTATTTTTAAAGTAAACATTAACCATACTAATTATATCCTTATATCTGCTAAACAAAATAAACATTTCCTGCAAAAACAAAGAACTTTACCATTGTTCAATTCAACCTCATTCTTTGGATGAGCTTGCAATGACAAAACCCAATGAATTACTGCTTCTTTTTCAATCTAGAGAACAAAAAAATATCATGTTAAGGATGCATGCCATAAACTTTAGAGCAACTGCCTAGTTTGATCAATAATTGTCAAATAATAGCCTATTTTTTCTTGAATACTTTAATTCGGTATACTATCTTAGAGCATGTTTGAGCCCCATTTTTTTCTTAATAATGTATTTTGGAATAGTAGATTGATCGAGAATGTATAGTTAAAAAAGAAGGAAAAATTTTGGGTTTGCATGTAATATTATTTTATTTGAAAAACGTGTGGTTGAAAAGAAGAGAGAAAAATGTATTTTGAAAATAATGTGGATCAAACAAGGGTTTATTATCAAATCTATTTCATATTAACCGGTGTCCATTTCTTTTACTGGACAAGATCAACGAGGCTGGAATTTCCCCAAAAACTGAAGCATTGGAGCTTACAATTAAAAATAAATAAATAAATTGCCCATCGGCAACGAAAGTTGCTCTACAATATATACAGCACAATGAAGTTGAAAAGCAAAAATGCAAAACACTTCAATGTTCACACCATGCATAAATTTTTCTAATGACTGTGAAAATTGCAAAAACTAATCCCAATACTTGGTTTCGCCTCTTAAGGGTCACAATGAAGTAGAAAAGCAAAAAATCAAAACGCTTCAATGTTCACGCCATGCATAAATTTTACTAATGACAGTGTAAATTGCAAAAACTATTCCCAATACATGGTTTCACCTCTAAAGGATCACAATTTACATCTAAACATCCAATGAGATTAGGATTCAAAGACAAACTTTAATTAATCCACAAAAAATTTGAGAAACCCATCCATGGGTTGCAATGCTTCCCTCCTTCATTTTGGTTTATGTTAGACATAGAGCTTGGTCATTACCCGCTCATAACATATTAAATTCGAATTTGAAAACCATCGAATTTTCCGAAGATAATAATCCAAATATATTTTTTTTGATAGGAGTTGATAATAATCCAAATATATCAAATTGAATAGAATTTCACGAGGAGCATACGCAATCAAGAGCGGCGAGGATGTCGAGGCCAGTGATGACGAAGTATGCGAGAGTGAGGCGGTTGATTTCTTGGCTTTGATATGGGGATGGCAACAGTTGGTACATCATCTCCAAAAAGTGTATGTGCCGAGCCCTATCGAAAGATAATGTATTTGAAGGAGAATCTGGTGCATCCTCCCAGATTGAATCGTCGTCCGCCATATTTGAGGGTGAGTTTTAGATATCGTACTATTTGAATTGGGCGAGATCTGGGGGGGTTTTCCTAGCTTCACCTTCACTAGTTCACTTGGAGGCAAAATCTATAATTATTTTGTGGTCTCAAATCTGGTAAACTGAAAAGTACCGAACTTTGAGTGAAATTTCATTTTAGTCTGGCAACTACTTTTATTTTTGAGTAGTGAGCACTACACATACACATAATGGTTCATATAAGGGTCAAGTGGCTCCCCTCCAATGGGGAGGCGTCACTTGACCCTTATGTGAAGCATTATGGGAAATGCTATGTACATTTCCCTTTATTTTTTATTTTTCAAACTCTTATCTTAAAATTTCAACTTCATCTTAGCCCATGTTTCAGCCCCATTCTTTCTTCTTTTTTTCCATTCATTTTTCTACTGTATTTATTTTCAATCATACATTTTTCAAATAAAATAATATTACACACAAATCTAAAATTTTTTATCCATTTTCCACCACACATTCTCCCATCAATCACTATTCAAAAATTAATTCTTCCTAAAAAATGGGGGCCAATTAATGTTAAGCCCTATTTAGCCACACTTTCTTGAAACTCATTTTTATCTAAACTTATTTTCAATCATATATTTTAAAGTATTCATTTTGTCATTTTTTTTAATCAAAATTTGTTAAAAGTCTGATTTTTAACAAAACTAAACAGTGGCTAGATATATTTGTTTTCATCGAGCTTTTTTAAATATATTTTTTAGATAATTATATCCACACATGACACAAACGTTATTATTATCGTACCTTGTATTAATTGTAATGAAAGTTTTAAACATTTGTTTATTATTGCACTTGTATCCTTAACTTTTTTCGTTGCATTATTATATATAATCTTTAGTAAACTAACATATTTTGTCCCTAATGATGATTTATGTCAAAATACCCGTTAATGTACTTCAAAATAATGGTCTAACTTTTGTATCTTTTTTATTTGTAAATATGGGGACATATAAGTTTTTTTATACTTCCTGATGGAATTTTCTGAATGATACGATTGTCAGGACCAAGAAGTACTAATGAATAACATATTTGACGAGAATACAACAGAAAATTATGATACAAATGCGACAATAAATAAAAGTTAAGAGCATTCATTACTTTTACTTTTAAAATGTGATGTAAAAAAAAATCGTGGTATAGATGTGCTTACACTTTTTTTTAAGCTCAAAGTAAACTCCGTTAAAAAAATTCTCCCGACACAATATGCAAAATAAAATGAGGAATACATTCGAGCCAATTAAGAGACAATGTTGAGGTAGTTTGAGAGGCAAGCACGTGGACAACTTCATTCTCATTTAGGAGAACAAGACAACAAGAACTACAATAAACTCTCAAAGAAAATCTACGATGTCAAATCAAATGTAAACATTTTGTGTGAAGCTAAAGTCCAATTCAAGGCAATGAATCGTGTGAAGAGCATCACATTAGTCAGCTGCAATATGTAACCCTTGATTTTTAGTCGATGGCAAACCTTTTCGAAGCGCAAGAACTCTGACATCTTCGGGCAAAAACTCGCTCTTACCTCATCTTGAGCATGCCTTTATAGCCACCCATATTGGGTTATTTAACCATACTAGTCACAACTAAACGTGTGTTGCACGGTATTTTGAAATTTTTTTATAAATATTGTAAAAATGATATTTGAAAATCAATGAATATAAAAAATAGTTAAAAAAAACTGTTTATGTCAAATGAATTTTTTATACAATTCAATTTTTATTTACGTGCATGATAATAATTAACATCAATTTATATATATCCTACTATTATTCAATCAATTAATTTCTCAAGTTCATGCATGTACACTTTATATATTTCGTGGGCTGTTTAATTATTATAGAAATACTACAATTCAATTATTTATGTACGTTCATGTTTACTAATTAACATTTATTTATGGATATATTAAATAAAACATTAAGTCATCAAGTTCATGTACACGTGTTTTGGAAGCTATTCAATTATTTTAGGAGTAAATAAATTATTCAAATTTATGAACACGTATTTATTTTCAAAATTATTAATTTTATCATACATTTTTTTAGGAGTATATAAATTATTAAAGATAAAATAATTTGGGAGTTATTCAATTATTATATGTGTGAATAAATTATTCAAATTCATGTACACTTATTTAATTTCAATATTATTCATTTAATTTATGATATAACGTCATTTGTCTAAATGTATATAAATTATTCTTTTTCTATATTCATTGATTCAAATTAATTAAATTTCATGTTGGTTCATGTACACCCCCTTTGTTTAAATGTATATAAATTATTATTTTTCTATATCTATTAATTCAAATTAATTAAATTATAGGAGTCGATAAATTATTCAAGTTCATATACACTTATTTAATTTCAATATTATTCATTTAATCTATGATATAACGTCATTTGTCTAAATGTATATAAATTATTCTTTTTCTATATTCATTGATTCAAATTAATTAAATTCTATGTTGGTTCATGTACACCCCTTTTGTTTAAATGTATATAAAATATTATTTTTCTATATCCATTAATTCAAATTAATTAAATTTCTTGTTGGTTCACTTAACACCACACTTGTTTAAATGTATATACATTATTCTTTTTTTATACTCATTGATTTAAATTAATTAAATATCATGTTCATGAATCTATTTGATTATTTTCGTACAATTCATTTATTTATTTGTGAGCATGTTTAATAATTAATTTTCAATTAAACATATATTGAAAAACAAAAAGTAAGGTATTATTGAAATAATTAAATTGTAGTATGACTAAAATCATATAGAAAATGATTTTTACTTGATACGATATTTAATATATTATAGATAATTAGCTATGATTTAATTCGCTAGTGTTCAAAAGAGACTACTAATGTATTTATTTGTAAACCAAAATTGGTTAATTGATCGAGGGTAAACAAAAAAGGTTCAAGAAAATGGAAACAAAAACATAGAAAATTTAATGGTGAAAAAAATGAGCAAATTTGGGGGTTAGGTGATCCCCCAAGCCATCCTTGCATCGGCCCATGCTTCCATTAAGAATAATGCTACTCAAATAGGGCTTAAAAAACAGGGGTATGACAGTGCTGCGTTGACAACACTTGTGTAACTAATTTTTGTTTTCAAACTGTCTACTAATATTGCGACACATGTCCTCCTATTTTAATCATTGTCATTGAATCTGTTTGCGTAGCATAATTGTTCCATTAAACATCGGTACCATGTGCATCCCGCATGACTATTTGATGTAAAAATAGACTTTCATCACGTGGGATACTAATCACTGTGTTAAATGTTTGGGAGATGAGTGCTATAACTGGAAGGTAGGGGTAATGCTGCCATACCCATGAAGGGTTGGGGACCCCTGAGGAATTTAGAAAAAGCCACTGGAAATTTCCCCACGCGTATCTGCCCTACTCACCGAGTCACCCTTTACCGGTTGTTGTCCTTTAGCCCAAATATTAGAGATTTTTCGGACTCTGTACAAACTGTAAACCTAAGAGGCAAGAATCAATTGAATCGATGGCTCGGAGAGCGACGAGACTGATGAGCATCCTGTCATCGCGGCTGTCGTACCCAAAGCAGCTACAGCAGTACCGCAATTTTGGATCGCCTCCACCTCCGCCTGCTGTATTCGTGGACAAAAACACAAGGGTCATCTGCCAAGGCATTACCGGCAAGAATGGCACTTTCCACACAGAACAGGCAATCGAATACGGCACCAAAATGGTATTTTGGTTCTCAATCGTCTTCTCTTTTTCCTCACATTGTTCGTCCGTAACTGTTTTTTATTTTGCAAGTGATGCAAATTTTTATCTTGTTTTTATGTGGGGTTTGTTTATATTTTGGGTTCCGATGCATGTAATGCAGTGCTTATACCAGTGGAAAAATGGTCGGTTTACGCGTTATATTGTATTTGCGCACATAGGATGCACGAGAGTGTGGTCACACGCTACATATATAATTTAGATACGGTTTTTGAAAGCCTATAATATGGCAAACGTACTGAAGCGCGGTACCTTGCCCTTCAATGCTTCTGTTATCGTGTGCATCCACGTGTGTATTGAAAATTTTTTATTTATCTTTTGAGAAACATGGATGCCAGATTCAAATTTCGTCCCAAACTTTCTCATTAATTAAATTCTCCCATATATAAGTAGTACTCATCTTTTTGAGACATTCGGACATCTTTTGAGCTATCAAAACTCTACAGGATTAAACATGTGGTAGAAAATGGGCCCAAAAGCAGAAAAAAATGTGCAACGAGATAAAATTCAGCGAATGTTGGGAAAAATTCTATAAATATAGAGCATTTCTTCCCTCCCCCAAGGAAAATGAAGAATTTGTATGTTAATACGTTTTGTCCTGAAGTTTCTTAAACTGGATTGGTCTCTTCCTCATTTTCTAACCCCCTCATAATTTGTGTCTGCTGATGTAGGTTGGAGGGGTTACCCCTGGGAAGGGTGGAACAGAACACTTGGGACTTCCTGTTTTCAACTCTGTAGCAGAGGCAAAAGCTGAAACAAAGGCTAATGCAACAGTGATTTATGTTCCTCCACCTTTTGCGGCTAAAGCAATTATGGAGGCAATGGAGGCTGAGCTAGACTTGGCTGTTTGCATCACTGAAGGAATCCCTCAGCATGACATGGTAACCAACATTGTTTTAGTGAATCTCCTCCCATTTCACCCTTCAACAAAGACAAATAGAATGGATGATCTGGAGCTAACCACAATCATCGAGATTTGCTTATCACAGATATTTCAATCACACAGTGAATGAAAAAACATGTTTCGTAGATAATATGTTAATCCACATTCTGTATAAGTGCTCTAATGCTTTTAATTGTTGTTCTTATCTGTTATAATCTTCTAACAGCCCTCAAGGTCTTGGCAACTGGATTTGTTTTCTACTCTTATTGTATTGTGCTGGTTAATGACTTCACTTAAATTTTACTTGTCTTTGTGCAATAAGAAGCTTATTGTATCAGAAAGATACAGTGTCTTGCTGGCTAGGCTTCTGCATGGGCCAGGGGTATAGAGGGTTGGGGTGATTTAGGAGATGAATTCCACTAATTTAAACTGCGATTCTAGCTTGAACCATTTGCAGCTTTGTTTGTATTGCCCAGCACTAGATATCTAAGACATTCATAATAGTAAATCGTGAATGGTGGATGGCGCTAATTTCCACATATCATCCTAAAGTTGGGCACTTTTATGCGAGTGATTATACAAACACACACAGAGACACATTCATATTGTTGCTTACTGATTTGTGCTGTTTATTCTCTCCTTCTCCCTTTTTTCTTGATGAGGATTTTTGAGATAAAGAGCATGGCAATTTGTTTTAATGCTGAACCACTTATTTCATGATCAACTATTCTATACCGCTGTTCATATGAAGTCCGATTTCAAAATTCGCATTTTACACTGTGCATATATATCGTAAGCTAATTAAAAGAGGCCTTTAAATGCGCGCGTTATCGCAAAAATTGAATCACAGCTAACAGTTTATAATGCCATCTATCATTGACCTTTAATTCACATGTTTAAAACTATATCATGCTAGCTTGGGTTTCTTTTTGGATTGGTCATTTTACTATTGCTTGTTTTCATGTTGAAATCATGCTAAGAAACTTCCCTTTTAATTCTTTTGGACAACTAAGCTTAAGATGATTTGGTTAGCTTAACGTGTTGTTCATTGAAAACAAAAGAAATGTACTTCACGTGTAAAGATGCCAGTTCTTCAAGTTTGTACATCTGTTAATTTGGTCACGCTGTTCAATTAGATCATTTTGTCCGGAATGGGGAACGAATAATTCTATTAGTGCCAAAATTAGATTGTCTCAAGATTCCTATCATTGATGCTTCATAGGTATAACCTATTATAATTTGCCAAAATACACGTTCACTATTATTAGACATTTTATTGCCTATTAATCATTGTTCTTTCCAAAGAGTATCCCTTATAGATATTGATTTGTCATCTAGTGTCAGTAATTGGTACATGAATCTCAATGGAGTGCATGAGCATGAGTGATGATGTTACTGCACGAGGAAGTTTTACAATATCAAGGCATGTGGATATCACATGGGTTTATATACTTCTTTTGGCTTTTGCTGAAGTTTATGTTGATATGGGTATCCATTAGTAATTTAGGGATGAGGCTCACGTGTTTATATCCTCCTTGCTCTCAAGTTGTTCTGTTTTTTAAAATGCAGGTTCGTGTCAAGGCTGCTCTTAACAAGCAGTCAAAAACTCGTCTCATAGGTCCAAATTGTCCTGGGATTATCAAGCCTGGGGAGTGTAAAATTGGAATTATGCCTGGATACATTCACAAACCAGGACGTATTGGAATTGTCTCACGGTCTGGCACACTGACTTATGAAGCGGTGAGATCCTTTTTCATTTGGATTTTATTTTATGAAATTTTGAACACCTATATTTTATCATTAAAGCTTCTCCAAGCTATGGTTGGCTGTGAGAAAAATAGACTTCCTATGACTTGTATATCTGTATCTATATGGTGCCTTTATACATTCAACAGTATGGTGCCTTTTTTTTTTTCAACAGTTAAACATTCCACAAGTTGAAAAGATTATAGCTAGTCAATTTATCCCTCTGCCTCCTAAGTCTTATGTAAAGGTTGGAAGGGTTACAAAAATTGGTTGGTTGCATGGGATATAGAAACCTTAAGCTCTAGTAGGGAGCATGTTTGACTGACCTTTAATGCAAGTAAAAGCAAGTTTTTGTTTCCAAGCACGTTTATTGACCAACAAAAAAGTTATTTATTTTGAAACTTATTTACTCATAAATAAGCTTGTGAGTTTTCTAAGCTTGGTGAAAACTGCACTCAATTAACACCTTGGGAGTCAAATACCGTACCCACACTGTGGAATCATTGAAATCCATCATGAAGCTTCAATTGTCTGACTTCCAGAATTTTTTTTTTGAAAGGTAACTTCCAGAAATGGTTTTACCACTTGATATAGTAGTTGCTATTAGGAGGACCAAAAGTATACTTGTCAATGTTTCAGATTCAAATGTTTATCAACCCACCCACTCATTGCAATTTAATCACACTTGTTTCTGTACACCGTCCCTAGTTCATTCAATTCTTCAAACCCTTTTCTTTATCAATCATCACATCATAACTCCTACCTACCAAGGATGGCAACTCTCCCTCTCCAATAAGAAAATAAGAAACCACACTACCATTGCCAGCAGAAATTAGTCTCTTTACTTTCTTTGAATTTCTAAAAACATTACAAAGTTCGACCATGTGAACCTGGTCTCACTAATTAGACTTATATTTATCTTCTTTGCATGAAAATTAATTTGCATTTTCACAATGAGGTCCTAAGCTGTCTATACACAAATAAAATATTAGTCTAGTGTCAACATGTTACATAATCATCTTAGCAATGTTTAAAAAGGCATACTCAGATACTAAGGAGGTGAGGTGTAAGTCTCACCGTAAATCCAAAAAATATCAGTCTCTCCGTCCCATTTATATATACTGACTTTCCTTATTTTCTTATCCTAATTATATAGCCCTGTTTTTATTGAAAATGTTTTGTTTTGTTCATTTACTAATATACCCTTATTTAATTTGTCTAGTTATAACCAATTTTCCCCAATTTACTATTTGTTGTTGATGATTAAATAATGGTAAACTAGGCAAGTTTTTGACGAAAATTTCTTTTTCAATAACATTAAATAAGATTTTTTAATCCATATGAAAAACAAAACCAACCTATATAAATGGGACGAAGAGTGTAAAATGCAAATAAGCATTTGATAAATCATAAAAATCTTCAAAATTCATAATAAAACAATTTAAAGTGTGCAAACAGCTAAAGCAAAATCAATGTAAGTAACAAAAAAAATCTATTACTTTAGTTGATGGGGCTGTGGACTATTCCGAATGTGGGTATATGAGAAACACAAATTTTAATGTTTTAGTAATAGTTGATTCTCAAGATGGGTTGATGAGAAATTCCTAGTGGGTAAATCAGATTATAATGTTTTCAGGGGCCTACGCCTGAAGCAAGCAAAGTATATAAGTTTGAAGAATTAAGGAGCGCACACCTCACAAGCCTTAAGGCAGCCAAAACTGTCTTGCGATCTTTTAGGTTTTTTTAGTTCACCTTGCTCTGAGGTGGGCCTCAATAGGGATTTTTCAAATGAGTGCCGATTACACTTTTGTTAATAAATAAAGTGAAACCATTTAGTATAATCATCAGATTGAAGTGATAGATTTCAAAGATGCATGTTTACAAGTCTGTGGAAAAAATCATGTTCATATAAGTAGAATTCTGGAAGTCATAAAATCTAATTGCCACAAAAAAATAAGTAATAAAATTCGTAAAAAGTCATGGAAGTCCAAAGGGAAAAAGATCAACCCCCCCCAATGCTTGTTTGAGTTTAAATGAACCTACCCAGACTTCATTTTGAAGTTGAACTGTAGAATTCTGGTAATTCATAGTATGATTGTCTAAGTTTCGTTTTCCCCCTCTTGTTCAATTCTTCTTTTTTGTTCTGTTTGACAATTTAAAATTGTATAACTTTATGCTTGTTTGGCAATAGTATATTTTGCTCTATTTTCTTATATGCACTTAAAAGTTTTGTGATGAGGTTCTTTTTGTTTTTGCATAATACCCTTCTTGAAACTGTGTCAATGACTTTGTATATCATATATTTACTAGGTTTTTCAAACTACTGCTGTCGGTCTTGGACAGTCAACGTGCGTCGGAATTGGTGGGGACCCTTTCAATGGAACAAATTTTGTTGATTGCATAGAAAAGTTCCTTGCCGATCCTCAGACAGAAGGTAAAAAATTTGCCAAATTAAATTGTATCACAATGATTACATGAGATATTCGCTAAAGTGACATTTTTTTTTGTTGAAAAAGCATGCTCTTTGAATTGATTAAATCTTGTCGTAGCGCTTGTGAAATGCCACCACTTCATCTAAGTGGTTAAAAACATGGTCACATATAAGTTATCCATAGACATTTGCATTTTGGATTGAAAAATATTGGGTGAAATAATAAAAATATTGCAATATTTTGGTACAAGACTGTGCATGAAATGCACCGGATAGCCTTAAAGGTTTTGACGCTTTTGGTCTTTTTAGCTTCTCTTTATCTGCATTAGTTCTTGATAAGGGCATTTCTTTTCTTGTTGCTTGTTGCTACATCTGTTTTCTTTATCTTCCACACCAAGCCGCTAAGCCTCCAAATATTTTTCTTGTCCCTTCATTAAAGATAACTCATTCAGTCTGTCCTTTATAAACTATCAAGTTTCGAAGCAACTGATCAACTTTGAGTATTGACAAGTCTTTTGCTTCTTGAATACTCACTTTTGGCTCCCATTCTGAGGTAGGCTGATCAAATTTTCGTGACCTTAATAAACTTTCTCAAGTAGAGCCAGCTTGCTCCAAATGATACTGTGCCTCTCACTTATCAGAGGCTTTTGGTTAGCTTCGTCTCTAGTGTGTTATAATTATCCCATTCCTTTGAGTGACACTTCCAATTTGCCTTTTGTATATCAGGTATTGTTCTTATTGGTGAGATAGGTGGTACAGCAGAAGAGGATGCTGCATCCCTTATAAAGGTGAGGACAAAACTCTTTCCACAAGTTGCATGATATAAGTATAACCGAAAGAGCATTATGTCTGGAAAATGTACATGATTGAGCGAACAACTCGGAGCTCTTGCACGGCTATTTTCCTTTCCCTTTTATGGGATAAACGTTGGTTCTAAGTTTTGACTTCAGTGTCTATAGTAATCTGATGTCTATACTAAATACTCATACAAGGTGGATTTACCATTAACATTTCGTGTTGCTTTAAGAATGAAATTATGATCCAAAGTTAACATACATATATGTATGTGCGGGCATCAGGACACCCATGTAGCATGCATACATATTAGGAATATAGCATGTATTATATTTATCTAGGCATAAAATAATTAATGTGCAAACACCTAGACAACTACAAATGTAGAAAAGCGTGTGTATTCTGTATGATGGCTGTGTTCATATAGTAAAACTTGTCGGTTCCAAGTGCTTTATAAGGCTTCATCTTTGTGATTATCAGTTTGTAATTCCATAATTGAGACTAAATCATTATCCTCTGTGTTTCAATGATTTTCTCAGTTAGAAGATTGAGTACAACACTCATTTTTAGTTTTACTTCTCAGATTTTTTTCGGTTTGGTTGGTTTTGGTGGGGGGAGTAGGTTTCCTGGTAATGGTTTTAGTTATATTCCATCTTTTCTTTTCTTTTCTTTCTTTTTTTTTTCCCTGATAACAAAAAATGAGAAAGAAAATCTTATGATGGTAACTGTCTAGAGACTCTAGATTGAGCTTGTAATCATTTTCCTTACCTTTTGACCTCTTGGTTTGAAGAAGATTAGAGGTGGATCTAGCAGTCTGGAGACTTGGAAAAGCAATATTATTGATAGATAACTAGGATTTTGGCAACAAAGGTGTATCATTTCTTTGAGAATGCAATATAATACTAACTCCTGCCATCCTTATAAAATTACTGCTGCACATATGCCTCAGAGGCCTATGATAAAGTTTTTTAATTCTTCTGCATTATCTAGAGTCTAGACCGAACGGCTTGAGAGCTAAATTAGGAAGCTTGTCCTATGTACTCACCTTTTCTCTCGTGTTGCTGTGAAGATGTACATCTATTCTGAAGTTGTTATCAACTCTTCTTGGAATGACCGGTCATGGTTATTAGATAGACTTGGCATTGTTGGTGAGCAATTTCAATAAAACAATCGACCTATGTATACTCAGGCATACCCACATACAGTCTTCTCCATGAATTTCATCCATCTTATTCCGTGCCCTATTAAAAGATGATAAGTGAAAGACTCGATTCATAGTAGAGGATATGTCAGTAGGTGAATCCAAATAGTTGTAATAATACAGTGTTGAGTTCATTAATTATTATTAATTAAAAATTATTCAGTACCTTTGGCAGATAATGCATGTAGAATTCTTTGAATATCTTTCTGCATACCTTGGCTTCCGCTTTTTGGATCTTAAGAGCTTCTGAACGTCTGATTATCACTAAAAATTCCATAATTGAGACTAAATCATTGTCTTCTGTGTTTCAATAATTTTCTCAGTTACAAGATTGAGGACAACACTCATTTTTAGTTTTACTTTTCTCTCTCAGATTTTTTTCGGTTTGGCTGGTTTTGGTGGGGGGAGTAGGTTTCCTGGTAATGGTTTTAGTTATATATACCATCTTTTCTTTTCTTTTCTTTTCTTTCTTTTTTTTTTTTTCCTGATAACAAAAAAGGAGAAAGAAAATCTTATGATGGTAACTGTCTAGAGACTCTAGACTGAGCTTGTAATCATTTTCCTTACCTTTTGACCTCTTGGTTTGAAGAAGATTAGAGGTGGATCTAGCTGTCTGGAGACTTGGAAAAGCAATATTATTGATAGATAACTAGGATTTTGGCAACAAAGGTGTATCATTTCTTTGAGAATGCAATATAATACTAACTCCTGCCATCCTTGTAAAATTACTGCTGCACACATTCCTCAGGGGCCTATGATAAAGTTTTTTAATTCTTCTGCATTATCTAAAGTTTAGACCAAGCTGCATGTGAATGGCTTGAGAGCTAAATTAGGAAGCTTGTCCTATGTAGTCACCTTTTCTCTAGTATTGCTGTGAAGATGTACATCTATTTTGAAGTTGTTATCAACTCTTCTTGGAATGACCAGTCATGGTTATTAGATAGGCTTGGCATCTTTGGTGAGCAATTTCAATAAAACAATTGACCTATTTATACTCAGGCATACCCACATACAGTCTTCTCCATGAATTTCATCCATCTTATTCCGTGCCCTATTAAAAGATGATAAGTTAAAGACTCAATTCATGGTAGAGGATATGTCAGTAGGTGAATCCAAATAGTTGCGATCATACATTGTTGAGTTCATTAATTATTATTAATTAAAAATTATTCAGTACCTTTGGCAGATAATGCATGTAGAATTCTTTGAATATCTTTCTGCATACCTTGGCTTCCACTTTTTGGATCTTAAAGAGTTTCCGAACGTCTGATTATCACTAAATGCTTGATATCTTGCTTCTTGCAATATGTTGGAACTTGTGTATTACCTTCTCTAACTTTTAAAACTGAAACAGGAAAGTGGTACTGAAAAGCCCGTTGTTGCTTTCATTGCTGGACTTACAGCTCCACCTGGTCGACGGATGGGTCATGCAGGAGGTACCATATAGTGACCAAATTTAATGAATTTCTTGCTTGTACTTATATTTTCTTGTTTCATCTCATTTCCCATGAACCAATTAGTAGCACTAAACAATGACTAATTGTCTTTCTTGCCTCGTTAGACATGTCTTGTGCGCGTTAATTGATAATTCTGGTAACATCTATTTTATAGAAGGTTGTCATGCAACGTATTCCACGCTTCAGCACCTTGGAAATATTTTTTTCCCTTTGCTGGCAATCTAGTTTGTCTTACATATTTGCATGTCAACTGAAAGCACTAAGAGGAAGTGCTTGATAATTTTGATATAATCATGTGGAGCCTAGCTACCTTTCACTTTGTATCAATTTTGATTGGTTACATTAACTTTGAATGCCATCTGATTGTAAAGTGTGAATTTTTCCTTTGAAAGTTAGTGAGATTGATTGTTTTTACATTTGGTCTCTTTGTTTCTTGATCAGTCAACTCGATAAACAACAATATAGTTACTCCTGGACAATTCAAAGTCAGAATGATGTTTTTTAGTGAATTGATCTATATTGACACAATAAGTTCTCCGAAGTGAAACACCTTGGATGTTCTAACCTATAATTAAAAAATGAGAGGAATAGATAACTTCCTCCTCTTGCAATTTTATTTTTGTTTTTCAGATAGGTACACTGAAATCCGAGTTTTACACATAATTTATTTAGTTGTTTGAAAGATGGTGTTCATATTCTTCATGTTTGTGAGCTTTGAGCACTCTTCATTCTTATAATCGTCTTGAAGCACAGTCCAATGTCATGAATTCACCATTTACATGAAAGCAAGGAAGCTTATTCATTTTTGCATGACAATTTTGTGGTCTAAATATTGCAATATTTATCTATTAACATCTCTACAATATCTATCTGAAACTGTCTGCACTCCCGTTTCTAAAAATGTATTTCCTCAAAATTTATCAACTAAAAGTGCGTTGTGTTATCTACTGGTTGAATTTGCAGCAATTGTATCGGGAGGGAAGGGTACAGCACAAGACAAAATTAAGACCCTCAGAGAAGCTGGGGTAACTGTGGTCGAGTCGCCTGCAAAGATTGGAACTGCAATGCTTGATGTCTTCAAACAGAGGGGTCTTGCCTGATTGAGCTTCATTCATTTTTGATGTTTCACTTTCGCGTTTTCCTTCTCTGGGGCCTCTGTAGCAGGTTTAATAATGAGTACGAGTTTTTCTGCAATGCATTATATTCCAAGCCCGACAAATATTTATTTCATGAGATGCTATACTCGATCATAAATTTTTTGGATTATGAGGAGCAGGTTGAGAGTTATTTATACCAATTGCTTTGGGTTTATTCATTATTCATGTTTGATGTTAGCAGCCATTTGGCCTCTTTTAGCTCAAGCTCAAAGTTGAGGAGAAAATCACTGCGATTACACTGCACTTGGAAAGTGATCTCTATATAATTATTTTCATTAAAGCCAACAATTTGAATATATACATTTACTTGAACAGAAGCATATGCTTAAAATTCTTATTTATTTTTCTTTTTTCGCAGGGTGATAATCAAAGGACACTGTGCATGCACTAAATAAGTGGTTTGTAGATTGTGTTTTCTCCCGTTTCGTTTTACAATTTAATGTGGCCCATAATTCGAGGGGCACTATTAGGCCCCCCCATTATTTGAAATTTTAATGAATAGAATAATGTTTTTTTGAAAAATGCGTGGTTAAAAAATAAGAAAATTTTTTGAAATTATGTGTAATATTATTTTATTGGAGAATGAAAGAGAGAAAAATGAAATATAATTTTAATGGGGGCCAAGTAGGGACTAAATGATACACGGAAGACTGCAGCTGAATATGCATATAATTCTCCATATAGAAACAAACATGGTCAGATGGTCTTGTTGAACAACCAGCATGACAAAGTAAAGTTGGGAGTAAGTGGATTTCCAGAATAAAGGAAATGCAGATATGGCCATTGACAAGGCTTTTTCTTCAATGGGACTCTTGGAGAAGGAAGTTTATAGGCAACCACCAAATTCCATACCCGGAATTAAGACTGAATACATACAAACTACACAAATCAGTCTGCGGACACAAAACAAGCTTGTGGAGACTAGATATGGTTTGCAAAATAAAAGCATCCCTCTATCAAAATTCTCTAGTAGCATTAAGAATTTGAGCACTTCTACATGTACTGTAAAACATACCGATTACACACATCAAGGTGGGGTCCCTTTTTTTGTAATATTTAAATCACATGGGGGTCGGTAATTTTTACAGAAAGATTTCTTCTGTACAAGAACAAAAATTCTAAGAATTTTGTAGCCCATGTGAGAGTCGGTAATTTTTACAAACGGTACAAGGAGAAAAATTCTAAGAATTTTGTAGCCCAAGTCAGCATTGGTGCTTACGACAAGGAAATATAATCGTTTGATAACGCTACCAAATACACAAGTATATGAACTCCCTGTAACATGAATGATTCAAAATATTGACAAGCATCAAGTAGAATGTGCGAACTAAACAAGTAAATAAGAACCTTTTGATAGGTACAGTCAACTGCATCATAAACATCACAATGAATGAAAAAGAAACATAGGTAATAATTCGGTTCGATCTATGCTAAACAACTGCATAAAATATACCGAGTGAAAAAAAAAGAATAGGATATACAAGGCGACCATGAAACTTAGGGGAAAGGGAAAAAAGAGATGATACAAAAAGAAAAGAAAAAAAGGCGAGACGGGGAGAACCAGTTTCTGTTTTCTCCTTTCTATCCTTTTTTTTTCTGAGAGCCAGAAGCTACAACTGTTAGAAATCAATTACGAATATAAGCAATGGAAATCATCCCAAGCCTAAGACACTTCCCTTCAGCTTGTATCTCTTTTCCCTCCATCTTCTTCACCACTTCCAAAATATTTACATTGTCAATGAGCTTATTATATGGAACAGATAGTCAACATTACTTGAGCAAGATTGCAACAGAAAGTATACATATATCTATGAAGAATAAGGTTGGCATCAAAAAATCATGTGAAAACTAAAAGGTTAAGCAATATAGAAATAAGTTTTGCTGATGCTTCCCATTTATTGCAAGGCCATAACAATTCAGTACTGATTAATACAAAGTAAATGATAGGGATAAAATTCCAAGTCCTAAACATTAAATGCATGGAAAAAGGATGACCTGAAATATATTAATAAAAGCGAAACTTCATAAATCCTCAATAGAATGATGCCAGCAGATAATGAGAGCAAGTTTTGACTATCCTTTCCTTTTTAAACCAACGCTTCAGTTAAATCAACATATGTCCGTTCACTCCAAGGAGATGGGCGAAGGCACACACGAACCTCATGCTCTTCTGGTCCAACACGATGTTTGGGCACAAGAATCTCAAGCATAGTCCCAGTTGAGTCACCATATGCTTCTAATTTAGCGTCTTCAGGAATACGTGTTGGAAGAGAAATTTCTCTAATAAACTCTCCTTGAGGGCAGTGCTCAGGGGCTGGATCTGTTAGCCTAAACGTCCTGTCTTGCCTCTTAATTATTGGCACGCACCCAGTGCTCACACAAGATATCTTTACAATTCCATGCGTGAGATTGTTCCTCCATGTAACTTTCACCCTTTGAAGATCTGCAAAAGGCATGCTGACAACAATCAAAAATCCCTCATCATCCTCGTAAATAGTTTTTGCTGCAGTTACTGGCCCATATGCGCTCCTCATAACTCCAGAAAACTCACTTAACCATGGAGGCTCAATCACATGGATGTCCAAGACTTTATCGGAGTGGGAATCATTAGGCAAACAGCAATCATCATCATTACCTCGTTGGGAGAAACTTTTCTTACTCTTATTGCACACTCTCAAAAGGTCCATTCTTTCGGTAGTTATGTGGTTGGGTGCATGAGTTGACAAATTTAAACCAGAGCCATTGAGCAATTTTTTCAAGTGGGGATTTAAATTATCTTTAAACTGCAAAGGCCTCTCAAGCTCAAATTCTGCATTAAGAAGATTTCTCCAAGAGCCAAAATCACTGGCTTCAAGAGGGATTGAGAAGTTCACATCTCTGCCGGTAAGTTTCATCCATTTCTTGCGCTCATCCTCATCAAGCCCCATAAGATTAGGAGATGGAACAATTTCAATGCCATGAACACATTGGGGGTTAGAAAGACCCCTGTACTGCTTTCTCTGCATTTTGTGGGATCGAACAAAACCTTTTTCCACACTAAATGGAAACGGTCGCTCCCCTTGGCGTGAATGCCCATTCATATAGCTTCTCAACTGCATCTTCCCCAATGCATTTTCTGGTCTCTCCTTAAAAACCCACATGTAAATATTCTCCATATCGTGTTGAACCAAGAAAACATCCAGCTTCAAATCTGACTTATCATACCCACTGCAAACCCCATTACACTCACGAGCAAGTTTTCCCTTGGACTTTTCATTCAAAACGGGTCTAAAATAGAAACTGAAGAAAAACCAAGCGCCCCAAACACTATCAAGCCGCTTTGCATTTGCACATTTCTTCCCACCCTTGGGGACACTGTTAGTATTCATCTCAACCTCATAATGCTGGGGTCCAAGACTGACCTCTAGCATTTCACAAGCATCGTTCCAAGAATTATGGGGCAAAGGGCTCGGCTCAGCTGAAAGCGGGAGATTGATATCAGGAGGTGGCTGCAAAAGATTAACCGCCAGATTCAACTCTCTCTCTATTTCATCGTGAGTCAATGAGCTTGAGTCCATAGACAAGAGTGTGGACAAATGATTGCTGTCCATGGATAAGGTTGTAAGAAAATTTTCACCCATTTGCTCTTTTGTAGGCATCCTTTCGTTTTCGCTTGGATGGAAATTACAGCACCACTCCACCTCCACAGCCAACCCTCAAACCACATGAACAAATCATAAACATTTTAATATAACTAAATCCAATCCCACCAAAATCAATAACCGGTCTGAAGCATAATCAAACCAAATAAATAAATAGAGAGTGAAACCCAAAAATATAAAAATTGAATTCACTAATCAGTTACCAAGCTTCAGGATGCACTGAGATATTCACGAAATCTGTACCAGATGAGAACTGGGATAAAACCCCTATCCTCAACAAGTCGATATGCATAGATTCATGTGTATTATACGTATAAGCAGTATTAGCTATGCCTATACAGATGTAGAATGAGATGAAGAAAAAGGATAAAGGGTACCTATGGGGTAACAACTCCACATGACAGACGGACGGTGAGTAGAAGGAATCTGCATAAAGAAACGGTGGGAAACAGGGGTCGGCGGTGGAAAGCAGACTCCGTTACGTTACGTGACGATAATATAGATAGAAAAGACCGACTTTTGACTTTTCAACAACAAAGCTAACCCTAAAGTCTTTACAACTTGTCCGTGAGTCGTGACCGTATTATTGGATATTTATCTTAGATATTTTATAAACTGAGCCACTGCTTGACTCGGATTAAAATTTTCATTATCATTCTTCTACTCATTTTTAATTATACATTTTTCAATAAAATAAAAATATGTTGACAAAAAATATATTGATGAAAAGAAAGGTTTTTTTTGAAACTATTAAATGATGAAATGTCACGTGACATTCGATTAAAAAAAAAATGTCAAATAAAATGTACACCAAGCTTGACTGATCTTTATTTGTTTTGCACATTCTTCATAAAAACAAAAAGATTAGAAAGCTCTTATTTGATCTATGCTATTTTCAAAAAACAATTTTTCTATTTCTTTCTTTTCAATCACATATTTTTTAATAAAATAATATTACACGTAAATTCAAAAGTTCTACATTCTGCTCAATCATAGATTTTTCAAAATACATTTATTAAGAAAAATGAGTCTCGAAGAGACTCTTTAGAGTCCGTTTGATTGTAAGAATGAAAAATGGATGGAAAGAAATTGAATTCCAGAGAAAATATGAAAAATGTTGAAATTTTGAATTTTTTGATATTCGACATTCGTTTGACTTTGTTTTCCATTAAAATTGTTCATTGAAGGAAAAAAAATTTACAATTGAAAATAAAAATTGTTTCCATTACAAAAAAAAAATAGAATGAAAAACAGTTTTCCCACCAAAATTGGATTCAATGAAAACATGGAAATAGGGGTCCCGTGGGGGTTGGAGGGAAAACCAATTATAAAAAAAAAAAAAAAATTGACTATCAAACAACCAAAAAGTTGAAACTTGAAAAATAATTTTCAAGTTCTATGAAAAATATGTAACAGCAAACAGGGCCTTAAAGTATTACCTGGCACAACGGATGACTGCTTCACAGTTTCATTAGAAAAAAATTATTAACACGTGTTCATAACTTTACAATCTCAAAACAATTTTCAATTTTTAAAGTCCGGCCAATTAAACCTTAATCTTCTCTCTTCATCAGTCCTTGACTAATCACTAAATAGTTCATATTTCCTCGCTTAAAATTTGTTTTACGAACTACCTGCTCTCTACGAGAAATAATGAAAAATCCGCGAAATTAGAAGTTGAAGATGTCACTACTTCCTGAAACACACTACTAATTATTTTTTCACATAAAATAGCCAGAGGATGACTTTGAGATTACATTAAGAACCGGTTGAGGTAACGAGCTTCCGAACACAAAAGATTATTTCTAAAACAGTAGCAGAATTCCAAACAGAAACCAGAGTTGGACGAGACACAATCACATACACACTTCCAGATGCCAAAGATTATTCCTCTGGTCTAAAAATTCTATGCTTAATCCACTTCCTCAATCTTAGGGCCTGGACCAGAACTGCCACCAACAGAAGATAAAAATTCTATGCTTAATCCACTTCCTCAATCCTAGGGCCTGCACCAGAACTGCCACCAACAGAAGGACCATCTTCATCCATGCTTCCAGCCATGTCCGGACCAGCACCTCCAGAATACATCTTCGCAATTATTGGGTTGCATATGCTCTCCAGCTCCTTCATTTTGTCTTCAAATTCATCTGCCTCCGCAAGTTGGTTACCTTCCAGCCAGTGAATAGCCGACTCAATGGAATCCTCGATTTTCTTCTTGTCAGCTGCAGAAAGCTTCGACGCAATCTTATCGTCTTTGATAGTGTTCCTCATATTGTAAGCATAGTTTTCCAAGGCGTTCTTAGCTTCCACCTTCTTTTTATGTTCCTCGTCCTCAGATTTGTATTTTTCAGCTTCTTGTACCATCTTTTCGATCTCTTCCTTTGACAGTCTTCCCTTGTCGTTAGTGATGGTTATCTTGTTCTTCTGGCCAGTTGTCTTGTCCTCAGCTGAAACATTCAAGATGCCATTTGCGTCAATGTCAAAGCAAACAGTAATTTGAGGAACGCCCCGAGGTGCTGGTGGTATGCCACTGAGCTCAAATTTCCCTAGCAAATTGTTGTCTTTCGTTCTTGCTCTTTCACCCTCGAACACTTGGATCAACACACCGGGCTGATTGTCAGAATAGGTAGAGAACACTTGCTCCTTCTTGGTAGGAATAGTGGTATTCCTTGGAATGAGTACAGTCATGACACCTCCAGCAGTCTCCAACCCGAGAGACAGCGGTGTAACATCCAAGAGCAGAAGGTCTTGTACCTTCTCATTGCCTTCACCACTCAAAATTGCAGCTTGTACAGCAGCACCATACGCAACAGCCTCGTCCGGATTAATGCTCTTGCAGAGCTCCTTACCGTTGAAGAAATCCTGCAACAACTGTTGTACCTTAGGAATCCTAGTCGAGCCACCAACAAGGACAACATCATCAACACTGCTTTTATCCATCTTAGCATCCCTCAAACACTTCTCAACTGGCTCCATACACTTTCTAAACAAATCCATGTTGAGCTCCTCAAACCTTGCACGAGTTATGGTAGTGTAGAAATCAATACCCTCGTACAAAGAATCAATTTCAATTGTAGTCTGAGCAGTTGATGAGAGCGTTCTTTTCGCCCTCTCGCAAGCAGTTCTCAATCTCCTAAGAGATCTAGGATTTCCACTTATGTCCTTCTTGTTCTTCCTCTTGAACTCCTGGACAAAGTGATTCACCATTCGGTTATCAAAATCTTCTCCTCCGAGGTGAGTATCACCAGCAGTGGCCTTCACTTCGAATATACCCTCTTCAATAGTGAGAAGAGAGACATCAAATGTACCGCCACCAAGATCAAATATAAGCACATTTTTCTCGCCCGAACTTCCAGCCTTCTTGTCAAGGCCATACGCAATGGCTGCAGCCGTTGGCTCGTTAATTATACGCATCACATTAAGCCCTGCAATGACTCCAGCATCCTTCGTGGCCTGACGCTGAGAGTCATTGAAGTAGGCAGGGACAGTAACAACAGCGTTTTTAATCGTCGTTCCAAGATAAGCCTCGGCTATCTCCTTCATCTTGATGAGAACCATGGAGGAGATTTCCTCTGCAGCGAACTGCTTCTCTTCACCTTTGTAGGTCACTACAATCATTGGCTTGTCGCCCGGCCCAGGAATAACCTTGAATGGCCAAAGCTTCATGTCACTCTGAACCGATGGATCACTGTACCTTCTACCAATCAACCGCTTTGCATCTGTATTCAAAATCCAATTATTCAAAATCAATCCATAAAATCACAAAATGAACATATAACGACGTAAAAACAAATAAATTTACAATTTGTGCAATAAAAAGAACATAAAACCTTATAACTCAAACCACAGTCAACTTTTATTGCTTCGTATACGAAATCACCAATCACGAATTCACAAATATAACCACATAACCAAAAACCACAGCGTTAAAACCACTTTTTCCCTACTATGCAACATCATAATTCGAAGCTGCCAAAAATACAGCATATAAAATCTCGAAACTTCAAAAAATCAATTGTTAGCATGTTTCCGTGTGGGTTCATAATAATTTGTTCGATCAGGATTAGTCGAATAACGGAATAAACACGATTGCAACCAAATAATACATAAAAGTTTCGAAATCCAAAAGGAAAACACGAACCACTTACCAAAAACTGTGTTAACAGGGTTCATGGCGACCTGGTTCTTGGCTGCATCTCCGATAAGACGCTCGGTGTCAGTGAAGGCCACATAGGACGGCGTCGTACGATTACCCTGATCATTTGCTATGATCTCAACACGATCGTGTTGCCATACACCCACGCATGAATAGGTAGTTCCCAAGTCGATACCAATAGCCGGTCCTTCCCCCTTTCCAGCCATTACAAATGTAAGACACAAACTTGATTTTTTAAACAGAAATAGTGTAAGAACAACAAGAATCAGCGGATTCTAATACAAATTTTCTCAATTGTAGGTACTATTTGTTTCAATGATGAGAGAACGGAAAAAGGAGTGGGCATTAAATAATTCGAAAGCTGGTCTAGAATGTTCTTAGCGTAGATTTCAGCCGTTGGATTGGATTATTTTCTGATTTTCCTTTCTTTTCGTTTTCATATTCTTACCTCATTTTTCCAAAAACAGTGAGAATTTTGGCGTCTCGTTCCTTCCAGAGATTTCTATTCTCTCCTTTAAACTGGAATAACCGATAGCAACTTTTCTAGAATAATTCTTTTATAACTGGCTGTGCAATTTCAGGTTTAGGATGTTTTCTTCTTGGTCCTCTATGTCTGAGATGATTTCAGTTAGCTCCTCTTTTAATTGTTGATTGAGACAATTATAAATGGGTATTATGTGGTATATCTTCTAACTTTTTATATGCTACAAAACCCCCCTAAAAGTACCTAAACATTGCAGAATTTCCCCTGTCATCTATGTCCGTTAGTTTAGACGTTAAAAAAGTAAAAAAAAAAAGGCCAAAATCAATAATAATTCAAAGTGTATTTTAATCTCTTCAAATCCAAAAACTCACTTAAAGTCTCGTTTGTTTTATAAATTAACATAGAGAGAAATCAATAGGCGATCGTGGCATGGAAACCTAAGTATTGATCAAAAAATTCAAAATCAGCAATCATTTTTTATAATTTTGTTCGTGGGAGAAGGAGTTGCACACCATTTTGTTATATTTTGTTATTCTGCAATTTTATGCCTTGTTGGTTTTGATGAAGTTTGCTATTGGCTTAATACAGCATTCAAGGATTTTTTATTTTTATTTTTTGGTGCGAGGTTTGTTTCATTGTTACTTTATGGGATTACTGTTGGTTTTTTGACGTGTTAAGGTCTGTATTCGATTGGCTCTTTTGTCGATTTCTACTTTCTGCTGGTTAAGGTTTAATTTAAGGTTATTTTGTGCAAAGTTTATCATTTTCAGTGTTGCATTCTGTTGTGAAACAAACCATCGGATTGAGATGTCGAAATTATATGGCAAATTGTTTTCTCAATCTCAAACTCTTCTTCAAATCTAACACCAATTTTCAACTTTCAATTGGTTTCCAAAATAGAATTTCAACTTGACATAAGATTTCAATAGCATTCCAAACTGAATTTTCATTGACATGCACTTCAATTAGAATTTTTCAATATTTCAAACACTTCAACAAAAGAATTCAAACACACTCAAATTCCAACACATTCTGCAAAGTTTATTGATTTCGAGTTGATGTACACACAAACATTTCATCAATAGAGATGTTCCTCTTCGTCCTCAATACACATTAAAAATTAGAATCAAAACAAAAGATTAGGGGGTATTCCGAAAATAGACAATCGTTAGAGAATATTGTCGATCTATAGTGGAGAAAATTTTCAAACATTCTTATGGCCGTACAAGAAAAAGATCTATAATACGTGGAACTATGGAAATGTATACAAAAAGGTTGACAGGGTACACCAAAACTTATTCTTAGCTATAGTGTATATGTTAAGGAAAATTGCAGTGAAGGTCCCAAACCTTTCAATTTATTATAGAATACACCTTGACCTTTAATTTTTTTGGCCCCAGTCCCAAACCTTTAACTTCCATTGCAACTGAGGTCCATTGACAGATTCCGCCTATTTCCGTCCAAACCGAGCTCTTCAGGAGAGTTTAGTGATAAGTGTGTTTTACACACTTATTTAGGTCACAAAATATGGAAAATTGTTGATGTATATGTTGAAATATGGCTTAATCCGATATAATTTGTGTTTTTAGGATTACTTTGATGGATGGAATGAAGAGTATGAGAAAATGAACGAAAAATGACCAAAATGGAAGAATATGAAACTCCGAGGACCAAAATGCAATTACTCAAAAGATGACCCAATTTTGTTATTCTGCAATTTTATGCTTTGTTGGTTTTGATGAAGTTTGCTATTAGATTAATACAGCATTCAAGGATTTTTTATTTTTATTTTTTGGTGTGAGGTTTGTTTCATTGTTACTTTATGGGATTACTGTTGGTTTTTTGACGGGTTAAGGTCTGTATTCGATTGGCTCTTTTGTTGATTTCTACTTTCTGCTGGTTAAGGTTTAATTTAAGGTTATTTTGTGCAAAGTTTATCATTTTCAGTGTTGCATTCTGTTGTGAAACAAACCATCGGATTGAGATGTTGAAATTATATGGCAAATTATTTTCTCAATCTCAAACTCTTCTTCAAATCTAACACCAATTTTCAACTTTCAATGGGTTTCCAAAATAGAACTTCAACTTGACATAAGACTTCAATAGCATTCCAAACTGAATTTTCATTGACATGCACTTCAATTAGAATTTTTCAATATTTTAAACACTTCAACAAAAGAATTCAAACACACTCAAATTCCAACATATTCCGCAAAGTTGATTGATTTCGAGTTGATGTACACACAAACATTTCAGCAATAGACATGTTCCTCTTCGTCCTCAATACACATTAAAAATTAGAATCAAAACGAAAGATGAGGGGGTATGCCGAAAATAGACAATCGTTAGAGAATATTGTCGATCTATAGTGGAGAAAATTTTCAAACATTCTCATGGCCGTACAAGAAAAAGATCTATAATACGTGGAACTATGGAAATGTATACAAAAAGGTTGACAGGAAACTTAAACTTGTACACCAAAACTTATTCTTAGCTATAGTGTATATGTTAGGGAAAATTGTAGTGAAGGTCCCAAACCTTTCAATTTATTGTAGAATACACCTTGACCTTTAATTTTTTTGGCCCCAGTCCCAAACCTTTAACTTCCATTGCAACTGAGGTCCATTGACGGATTCCATCCACTTATCCGTTAGTCAACCCAAAAATTCAAACTTTGACCCCACCCCACCCCAAATCTCAAACAACAACACAAATGAGTCGATGGATCAAAAACCTTAGATCAATTAGAAATTTCAAGCTTCCTATCTCATGTGGATTTTACCAGATAATTAATTGTTAACAATATTTAAATAGAAGTAAGTTTTGTACAATTCTTGATAAAGGAATAGGGCCTAATAGCCTATTTCCGTCCAAACCGAGCTCTTCAGGAGAGTTTAGCATTCCAATTTCTCTTGGAATGGGACTAGCAAATTTATTATTATGAAACCAGAGAATTGAAGCTTTTGTCAAGTTTGTAATAGATGAAGGGATAGATCCTGAGATTTGATTCTTGTTAATCATTAAAATTTCTATGTTGCTTTTTTTGCCATTCGAAGTGGGGATTGTACATGTTAGATTGTTATATCCCAAATTCACTTGTCACAAATCTCTATCAAATGGAAAGTTGAGATTTGCACTGAAAACATTTGAGCTATCCTTTTGTTTGAGAAGCTGAGAATTCTGATCTTCTTTCTCGTTGAATAGCTCGAGGAATAAAACCAAAATCATGAGCGTGCCAATGGCCAGAGCTGATAGATAATGGGGAACCCGAAGTGCTTAGTTTCGAGATTATTGTGATGATATTGTCGAGAGTTTCTTCCTCGACTTGCATTGCAGTAGAAACTTGAGTATAAGAGAGATCTCAAGTGCTATTGCAGTGAAGATTTGGATTGTGGTGGTGCGACGGTGGCCGATGACAAATTTAGGGTTTTTGTGATGGGGTGGGCAGTGGAAGAATATGGATTGTTCATCTTTATTGTTTTATTTAATTATTTTATTATAAAATTGTAAATTTATCATTTATCCTTCTCTTAATTTGTCAAGTTGAGTCAAAGTTTTAAAATTTGGGTTGGTTAACGGATAAGTGGATGGAATCTGTCAAATGTACTTCAACCGCAACGGAAGTCAAAGGTTTGGGATTGCTGTCACAAAAATTAAAGGTTAAGATGTATTTTGTAGTAAATTGAAAGGTTTGGAACCTCAGTTGCAATTTTTCGTTCTAATTATACAAAATTGGTAATTGACTTCTGAATTTTTCTTTTTTATCAATTTTTAACAAATTTTATTTGTGAATTGAGCAAGCTCTTAATCAATCAATTCTATTTTTTTTAAACAATGTTCGCATACATACAATAGTTGACTACAATTGATAACAGTATTTGAAGATTTTTTTTTTTCATTTTTAAGATTTTTAATAGGTTTACTCATGACATTTACAATGATCATTATTGAATATCAAGGACACATTATATAGATTCTTTTAGCTTACCAAGGCACCAAAAATTACATGAGTGGAAGTTTGAATATGTTAAATTTAAAAATGCAATATTCGTCAACCAAAATATATGAACATATAATCGAAATTTTTGGGGTCTCGATGCATGCACAACATATATTGGATATGGCGCTGAAATATGTTGAAGATCAGAATGCAGGAACCTGCATCGGTATTGCAAATTGCGTTACAATTTCCTACTGAGTTATGTCATTTGTAAATCAATTGTGTACACTCATGTTGACACTTGATGTGTTGTCAAGAAATAAGTGAATGAAAAAATAACTATTTCTAAATTGTCAAATGAAATAATGACAAGTGACATAATGTAAACAAAAGTATAGACCATGATGTACACCAAGTATGGTTGTTTCCTACTTGCAGGTGTTGTGAACTATTGTTTAGACTTAACATTTGATTTTTCTAATTATGTCGTTAAAAGAAGTCCGATGTCAATGTTTTTGGAAACCTACAAAATCGCAATCTTGACTGAGGGAACAGACCTTTTTGAGATTGATTCTTGCGTCCAACAGGTCAAGTTTTACTACAATTACTTGAAATGCGTTTGGATAACATCCTTTTTCGATTGGATATGGCCATAGACAAGCTTCTTGAGTTTGGTACTGTGAATACCAATACATGTCTTATGTAATGGAAGTCTTGAAATTGTTCACCACTTACTCTTTAAATGCCAATTCAGTCGAGCAATCTCGGACCAAGTCATGAGCAAATCTGGCTTTCGGCACTTATTTTTAGTAGATTTTAATGAAAAATAAAATACTTATTTTAGTAGATTTTAATTAAAAAAAATAACAAAAATATATATTTGAAAATTTTTATCGGTAAAAATTAATGTCATTAACTTTTTTTTTTTTTTAAAACTAAACCAAATCGGACATAATAAAATTCAGACATTAAAGTTTAAATAAAAATATTTAAAAATGACTTCTAATAAAGCTATGTAAAAAATTAACTCAAAAATATATTTGATGAATTTATGCTGATTGTTTATCATTTAAAATTTGTTTATACAATTCATTAACCCCGTGTTTTTCAAATAAACCATTTTTTAAATATTTTTAAATATCGTAAAATTATAAATTTTGATCATCTAAATAATACGCTAGGAAACCAGAGCTATATTGAACAGAAATTTACATTACATGTTGCAAAAGTTATATAATTTACGACTGCAGAAGCATAGATTTTTAATATTACAGTCTCAAAAAGAGAAGACACTCAAGAGTAGGAGTAGCAAGAACTTGGAACAACAAAAACACCACGTAAACGGTAAACAACGATTTTTCACATGCTTTTAACCACAGATTTCAATTGCCTTAACCTCAGCATTTTTCTCTTCCTCTTTGGGCACGACGACAGTGAGCACTCCATTCTCCATGCTAGCCTTGACTTGATCCATATTCGCATTCTCCGGCAGCCTGAACCGGCGCAGAAATTTGCCGCTGCTTCTCTCAACGCGGTGCCATTTGTCGGTTTTCTCCTCATGCTCTTTGCTTCGCTCACCGCTAATTTGCAGAATTCTACCATCTTCTACCTCCACTTTTACTTCCTCCTTCTTGAGCCCAGGAAGATCAGCCTTGAAGATGTGAGCCTCTGGAGTCTCTTTCCAGTCTATGCGAGTGTTGGCAAGGGCTGCGGTTTCGCGAGATGAACTTGGAACGTTGGCTAAAGTGCTCGAGAAGGGGAAGCCCTGAAAAGGGTCCCAGACGTCGAGAGAAAATGGGTCATAAACGTTGGTTCGTCCGCTGGTCAAGAAGCTTGGAATCATAGCCATTTTTTCTAACCAGTTGCTGAGAAATCAGTGAGAACTGTGCTTGCTTTTGCTGGTTATGAGAATATGACGAAGGAGATGAAGAGGTAGGACTATTTATAGAGCGGTGACGAGCTATTGTGCAGAATCTGGGATATTCTTGAACTGCATCATTTACTATAGTTAGAGGAATTCGATAAAGTTCCACAAGCTTCTTAGTATTTATCTCTCTGAATGTGGACAAAGTAGACAGACATGGGACGTTGGAAAATGGATTCATTCTGCTTTATACATTTTTTATAAAATTAATCTACAAAGATCGTTGATTCTTATCAAAGAAATACAGGATCAACTGAGGCTGTTCAAATAGGCATAGGTCAATTAAATGGTATTTCGTAGCATTTGGGATTAAGTTTCCAACTCAAGCAAATCTCTTTGGAATTGATCAAACGTTTTCGATCCAAAGTGCATCATGCGGGAATCAACTGTCCAAATAGTGTTGGTGTTGTATTAATGTATGATAGTTCAATTAAACTAAGAAGGAAGTTTTGTAAAAGCAACGAGAAGAATTGTTCTGGTACCAGTGAGCAAGGCCTATTTGGATCGTGTTATAAATACCCTGACTAAATAATGATAGTTGACAATGTTTGATATGTGGCAATATCTGAATAATTGATTTAAAAAACAATTTTTAAAATTTTTTGAAATAGATAAATGTTATGATGTCAGATCATGATGTCAACAAACTTTGTTAATCANAAAAAAAAAAAAAAGACATTTTCATTTTTCGTGTAATTTATTCTCAAAAAAATTATATCAAAACAATCATTACATTCAATTACAGATTTCTCAATAAATTAATATTGCACGTGAAATCATAATTTTTCTTTTTTTAATCACATTCTCCAAAAATTCTTGCAAACTTTATTCTCAAAAAATCAACCCATAATTAATTGGTTGGATAAACCTCCCATTCTTGCAAACTGTGCAATCACTACAAAGTCGAAGAGTCGAGGCAACTACTGACCTGCAATATATATAGATATAAGAAAATATTGCTCTCTCTATTAACTTACAAAAAAGCTATTTTGTACAATCATTAATGGGTTACAACACACTCACATTAGTGTGGCTGAGTGTGTTGTAAGTGTTGTAACCCACTAATGATTGTACACCTAGCACTACTCATTAACTTATTTGAATCACTCGTGAATTGTTATCTAAAGTTCAGATCTCACTAACAGATTGGGATACCGAAGAACAGCCATCAAGGTAAATCAGATCATGTTTTACAACAAATCATCCAGCGAGGGAAAAAAACCAAATGACTTCAAACTCGCCAATATGTACATAAGAGTTGAAAAAACTGCTCGCGTTAGTGGCTACATTTCTAAATCTTTCAAATCGAGGCCACAAGCCAAAACATTACATAAGATGATATGGCTAGAAGAAACCAGGAGACGAAAGCAAATGCTATTGAAATTGGGAACAAATTGCAAGAGAATTTGGTATATGCTTTACACATCACTGTGTCTTTAGTAAACAAAACCATGACACCAGCAGAGGAGCATGCAGCCGCAAGGGATAGAGTTGCTATTACCTGCATCACAAATTACATCTTTTAATCTCATTACAAGTTTGCATACAATTGAATATAAAGTAGCTTAGCATTTTGAAAGACAGTATTGTTATTGCACAAGTTCAGTTGAAGTTCATCATCAAAAGAAAGATTCTCACTCGGCATACTTAACGACTAACAGCAACTTGAACCATGTGACATTAATTTATATCAAAGCCAAAAACTGTCATTTCTTGTGGCTGTGTCTCATTGTACAAGGAGACTGCTTAATAATTGAGAGACTATAGATAGGATATTCCAAGACTTACAAATTCAACAAAAACTACTACCATTAGTCTTCCCACCTTCAAAACAGAGATTTCAACCACAAGAATTTTGGTCATTTTCAACACCGTGGCTTTTAAAATGTTGACGTTGCACTATGTTCAATAATCAAATATAATTATATCAGAGAGAATAAGCTGATAAATATGTGAAAATTAGTACAAGTTCTTAAAATTATCTTATATAAGACTAGTTTGTCCTCCTAAGAGGCAATGATAGTGCTAACTTCAGCAAATAATGGTTCACCAGAGCAAATGAACATACATTCATATTCAATACAACAACTTTCCTTAGCCATCTCCTAAGTGACATACCTGATGTTCATTAATATCATGCTTGATGCGATATATATGTTCATTCATGCAAGTAATGATAAAATTAAGCTTAAGAGAGATATTAAGTACCCAGTCACCAACGACGAACAGGCTCATAATGATATGATTATGCAGGTCTTTGTTGAACCTCAAAGCATGCATGTCGAGGCAGGCAAGTGCAAAACTCCACAAAACCTGAAGCCCCATTGATGCAATTAAGTAGCTGGAACAAAGATGTATAACAATTAGCAGGAGCACTATGATGTTGAAAGTAAAATCATTCTTAGAACAGAAGCAAGGGTATTCACAGATACAAGATATTGAACAATAAGAAGTGAGCAAGAATGTTAGGATTATTGGTTTAAACATTACAGCAGCAGCCAAGATCACCCCCACATGCTTTCATAAGAACAAAGTACTTCTGAAAGGCTCTAAAATACAACATTGATGGACTATAACTAAATCAACCAGTCTTAATTAATAACACTAGAATCAACGGGGCTGCACTAAGCTAACCAAATGAGACGATGACGATGTCATTCCACCTAACCCCACAGCTACCCACTCCACCCCCAAACTCTCTCAAAAAGAACAAGAAAAAAAGGTGAAACCATATAAAGATGAAAGAGTCTAGGAACGAAGTCTATTTGAATAACAGCGGCACATTCATTCATTCATTCAAAATATTATGGGAAAAACCTATGGCTGAATGTATGAATCAAAATTAAGGTAAAATAAACAATCACAATTGTGCTCTGAAGACTCTAGCTCCGGCTCTCATAGGTATTTGGTCCTCAAGGATTTTGATTGATCACATCCTCACTTCACCTCACCCTCAGTATGACCATTGGCATGCATTAAACTGTGATGAAAAAAAGCCCTATGTTTTTGGATATTATAATCTCTACTGTTTCCTCTGGCTCAATCAACCGTTCCAATACACAGTATTTAGTAATTTTCCAAAAGGAAGATATTTGCATTTCCCCAGTTTCTTCTTTCAGAATGTGCTTAATCTTGTTTCCTTTAAATGGAACTGATCAAAATGCACATGGATCCAAATATGATGAAAAGTGAAACCCATCACAATTCCCGCAATCAAAGACAAGAATAAAAAGGAAAAACGAAATAGTGTGGAAAAAATAAAATTACCAAAACGCAGTAACAGTAGAAAAGCCAGAGGCAGAGGTCATCACTCCAATTGAAGCTGTTGAAAATAAGCACTGTCCTATCCTTAATATCAGACCACTCGCTTTCCCAGGACTCCCAAAGGGTTTCTTCATCTCCCCGTATGTCTGTGTGTGTGTATTTGGTAAAGATTGAATTTTCAAGAGATGGGTCTCTTTTCCCAATGAAAATGGGAAAGTGGGATGCTCTCAGATTGTCCCAACATTCTCATGAGATTCAAATGAAATTTGTTTTGGTTGAGTGGAGTGTGACTTATCACTGGGTTAATATTGACAGAGAGTGTGACTTATTTGAAAGAAAACTAAGGTCGAATTTGATTGCCACGCATTTTTCATGTTTGGTTGCTACATTTTTTATAAAAAGTGTCACGTTCGAGAAAAATGAATTTCACTTTGGTAAGTTGATTGTAACGTGAAAATAGAAATTGAATTTCAAGGTACAACTATTTTAAGCTGCATTTTCTTTATTTTCATGAAAAACGATTTCTTATGGATTTCGTGGGTTCTTATTTTCCAACTAATATGGAATTGAAATTCCTTTCCACATTTGCCTATCAAAAGGACCCTTAGTCTTATGCAGAAAAAGTTCGATAAGTTAATATTGCCAGGGAGCGTGCCTTAGAGCATGTTTAGTACAGAATCTCATATTCTACGGTAAAAAATATCGGAAGAGCAAACTTNTTAAATTTTACAGTAAATCAATTCTTATTTTTAATCACACATTTTTCAATAAAATAATATTTTTCATCACATCAATAATTTTTTCTTCTTTTTCAACCACACATTTCCCATCATATCACTATTCAAAAATCAATTATTCCCCCAAAAATTCCTACCAAACACACTCTTAATTAAAAGAAAGCTAAAAGTGAAGTGACTATTCTTATATAGAAAAAAGTTCGATGACTAAAGGGAAACAAAATGATTCCTCGAGAAATAATGATAAAAACCTTTTTTGAGCCCCCATTATTCTCCAGAGATAATGATTCATACAGATTTGGTGAGTTTTTATTTTCCAACTAATATGGAATTGAAATTTCTTTCCACATTTGCCTATCAAACAGACCCTTAGTCTTATGAAGAAAAAGTTCAATAGGTTAATATTGACAGGGAGCTTGACTTAATTGAAAGAAAACTAAAAGTCAAGTGACTATTCTTATACAGAAAAAAGTTCGATGACTATAGGGAAACAAAATGATTCCTCCATAAATAACAATAAAAACCTGTTTGAGCCTCATTATTCTCCCAATAATGCATTTTAAATAGTATTTTGATAGAAAACATGTGGTTAAAAAAATAGGAAATATTTTCGATTTGTTTGTAATATTATCTTATTGAAAATGTGTGTTTGAAAATAAGAGGAAAAATGTATTTTTAAAAGAATGAGTATCAAACATGGATTAAGTAAATAAATATATGGCACTATAAAATAATCCAAATTGGACCGTGTTACATGTACATTGAGTTTGACACATTGATTTATATTTACGTAAGCTGACATATTTTGGTATATTGATCTTTGACACACACTTTTCAATCAAGGGAAGTGCTAGAGGTACATAATTTTTGTACATAGAGTGTTATGTTACATAACACTCTATGTACAAAAATTATGTACCTCTAGCACTTCCCTTGATTGAAAAGTGTGTGTCAAAGATCAATATACCAAAATATGTCAGCTTACGTAAATATAAATCAATGTGTCAAACTCAATGTACATGTAACACGGTCCAATTTGGATTATTTTATAGTGCCATATATTTATTTACTTAATCCATGTTTGATACTCATTCTTTTAAAAATACATTTTTCCTCTTATTTTCAAACACACATTTTCAATAAGATAATATTACAAACAAATCGAAAATATTTCCTATTTTTTTAACCACATGTTTTCTATCAAAATACTATTTAAAATGCATTATTGGGAGAATAATGAGGCTCAAACAGGTTTTTATTATTATTTATGGAGGAATCATTTTGTTTCCCTTTAGTCATCGAACTTTTTTCTGTATAAGAATAGTCACTTGACTTTTAGTTTTCTTTCAATTAAGTCAAGCTCCCTGTCAATATTAACCTATTGAACTTTTTCTTCATAAGACTAAGGGTCTGTTTGATAGGCAAATGTGGAAAGAAATTTCAATTCCATATTAGTTGGAAAATAAAAACTCACCAAATCTGTATGAATCATTATCTCTGGAGAATAATGGGGGCTCAAAAAAGGTTTTTATCATTATTTCTCGAGGAATCATTTTGTTTCCCTTTAGTCATCGAACTTTTTTCTATATAAGAATAGTCACTTCACTTTTAGCTTTCTTTTAATTAAGAGTGTGTTTGGTAGGAATTTTTGGGGGAATAATTGATTTTTGAATAGTGATATGATGGGAAATGTGTGGTTGAAAAAGAAGAAAAAAGTATTGATGTGATGAAAATATTATTTTATTAAAAATGTGTGGTTGAAAATGAGAATTGATTTACCGTAGAAAATGAGATTCTGTACTAAACATGCTCTAAGTCACGCTCCCTGGCAATATTAACATATCGAACTTTTTCTGCATAAGACTAAGGGTCCTTTTGATAGGCAAATGTGGAAAGGAATTTCAATTCCATATTAGTTGGAAAATAAGAACCCACGAAATCCATAAGAAATCGTTTTTCATGAAAATAAAGAAAATGCAGCTTAAAATAGTTGTACCTTGAAATTCAATTTCTATTTTCACGTTACAATCAACTTACCAAAGTGAAATTCATTTTTCTCGAACGTGACACTTTTTATAAAAAATGTAGCAACCAAACATGAAAAATGCGTGGCAATCAAATTCGACCTTAGTTTTCTTTCAAATAAGTCACACTCTCTGTCAATATTAACCCAGTGATAAGTCACACTCCACTCAACCAAAACAAATTTCATTTGAATCTCATGAGAATGTTGGGACAATCTGAGAGCATCCCACTTTCCCATTTTCATTGGGAAAAGAGACCCATCTCTTGAAAATTCAATCTTTACCAAATACACACACACAGACATACGGGGAGATGAAGAAACCCTTTGGGAGTCCTGGGAAAGCGAGTGGTCTGATATTAAGGATAGGACAGTGCTTATTTTCAACAGCTTCAATTGGAGTGATGACCTCTGCCTCTGGCTTTTCTANTCATCTCTAAATTGGTTCTTGGATTGTGGCTATTAAATTCCTTCATTTGTGATCGAATTTCCGACCAATAAGTGAGTACAAAGCAGTGGAGAAGATAAGCAAACAAAATGCAAGTGATTCAACCTCGTTTTGATGATTTCAAGTAAGTTTTGTAATTTGGATTTTCGTTAGAAGAATGCAAGCATGTTTTACGCAATGCATATCCAAGATTTTGTAGATGAATAAGCACAGAGCTCCATAGGACCATAAGCAGAGCTCCCTAGCAAGGATTTGTCCTTGTGCAAGAGTTGACGATACCTATTTTGTACGCTTAAATATTTAACCATATGATGTATAATTAGAGAGAAGTATTTCATCATTTCTGGATTCAAATTTGCACATAAACAAAATGCTCGATTGGTATGGTCAACTATTCGGTCATTCATATCTGAGCTGTAATACAAGTTTCACACCTACAGAAATGGCTAAAACAAGAAACTCAGATAAATCAGTAGGGCTTTACCTATTAGGATAATTTACGAAAGATTGGTCATATTCACACCACATTTTTTTAAAAAAAATAAATACACTGCACTTTAATTATACTAAAAGTCACTAACCTTTATTCATTATTAAATTTATATTCATAACATTTTTCTTCATCACATTCTTATTTTTAACGTTTAATTTTCAAAAAATATCTTGTCTTTAATTATGATTTTCGTATAAAAATATTGTTAGTGTGCTTTAAAATGAAGTTCAAATGCTTAATCGCATTTTTGCATTATTATTTATTTTGCTAAATTTAAAAATATAATGAACAAATGAGTCTTTCTACTTTTTCTTAAAAGAAAATTTTGTAGAAAAAAAAGAATCACGAACAATTTATGTTAATTTGAAAATATGAATGAGAAGAGAAAAAAAGTTTGATACATAAATGTGATGTGTAAAGATTATGAATATTTCATTCAATTAAAATGGACAAAATGACCAAGCCGAATCAAACCAAACCAAATTAAGCGGTTCAACTCGATTTTATAAAAAAAAATTAATAGTTCTAATTCTTAGAACTGAGAACCATTTGGTTAAAGTTATGACTCGGTTTTAGTTCTAGAACTAAGAACCGAACTCAATGTTTAAATTATATATATTGAAACTGATATCCTAAGCATCGATTGCTTAACTTAAGCATCAGTGACGTGCTACACTACAACATGTGATGTAATCAACCATTATTTTTTCACCAATTATTGTGGTGCTTAGCTTATACATATATACAAATTAGTGAATCACAATTCACACCAAATAATTCAAAATCCAGTTGAAAGTCATGACAAAAAGTTATGTATCTTCGACTTCTCATTTCTCAATGTGGACAATCGAGATCCAGACTTAAATTCATTTATCATTTTCTCTCATTTTCAATTTATATATCAACTCTCACATGGAGACCAACAAATATCGCTCGCTGTCTACCATCGCGCTTAGCCACCAACACCGCATAGATTCTAAAATTGAAGTCTCAAACTTCGATTATTTTTTCTCAATCAGTAATTGAATTATAACCAAACCAAACCAGAACCGAACGGTTTGGTTCCATATCTTAAAAAAAACTATTTGATTCCATTATCAAAAAACATTTTCATGGTTTAATTTGATTCTCTTGGAACCAAAATCAAATGGTATCATGTTCACCCTTAGTATGAATATACTTAACCTTTAAGAGAATGTTAGATTACTCAAGTAAGGAAACTAGTATCAAACAAGTTTGTAAGCAGCTCTAGTTGAGATAGGTAGAGCAAACAATTTTAAAATCCTAATCAATGTAAGCTCTAGTGGTTATTTTTGAAACTGCTAGTAGAATGGATTGGTCATCGATAAATGTATTTTTGCACAATTATTTAATACCTAAATATGTTTATTATTGATGAAAATAGCGGATATTGACCCACAATTGTGTAATTTTGGCTTTTGTAGGTTATAAATCGCAAATGGAAAGAGAATAAGGCAAAAAGAAGAGAAAATTGACCAAAAGCGTACAAAAAATGAAGCCGGGGACCAAAGTATACAAGTTAGAAAGTTGGGAGACCTTGGGTTGCAATTCTTGGAAGGCAAATTTGGTATAAAAGTCCAATTTTAAGGTCCACATTGTACAAGATCAAAGTTGAGGGCTTGTTGTGCAATTATATGGAGAACTAAATTGGACAAAAGAAAAGAAGAATGTTCGCACGCGCGGGAGAGGGCTCTTTTGATTTACCAAGACCAAAATGGTCTTATGGCGCACGTGCAAAGAATGCCCACGAGCTCCGCTTTTCGGCCGGGACCTGTTTGTTTTCGTCATGGGCTTCTTTTGCAATTTGTCAAGGACGATTTTTAGCCTTTTAAATACTATTTTTCAGTCACATTAACCCTATTCTTCATCTTTCCATTTTTCTTTACACTCTTGAAAGAAAAGGGGAGCAAGATCCAAGGCACAAGAAGAAAAAAAAATTAAAGAAATTTGAGAGATTTTTGGGGAAAACCAAAACCAAACCAAAACTCATTTCAGAATCCAGCCAAGGGAAGGATTTATATTTTGTATTGTATTTTATCTATTATTTTTCTAAGAAGTTGCAATGTATTTCTCTAACTTTTCTCCTTTTTATCGTATATATAAAATGGGCTAAGTGATTTATAATGGGAAACTTAACATAACTTGATTAATTATTTAATTTCAATATTTGCTTTTTAATGTTAAATTTTTTATTTTCATGTGTATTTCGTGCATTCTCATTTTATATGGCCCACGAATGATCTTGTTTTGTGATTTGTGCATCGTTTGAGAGAAGATTGTACATTTTATATTAAATATTAAATATCCTAGGTTCCGGTATGAGATAGAGATATACCCTTAATTCTGGGTGATTCATTGAGCTATTTTTACAAAAATTTAATGCGATTGTTAGGTTTTAAACCGATATAATGGAGATATAGTAAATTAAATTAATCAATTATGGTTAATTTCGCTCAAGGTATGTAATTAGTTAAACAGAAAATCGGATTTAACGTCGTAAATGAGTAATTTGTTAATTAGCTCATAGAGAAATTAATTAGGTGACGGTTAAGCGAAACCATAAATTCAAACCACGTTTTCCTATAAAATTCCCAAATATTTATGTTTTCTTATTTTGTAGAATTTTAATTATTTTTTTCATTATGTTCATATCCTATTATTAAATGTATGTGCTTCCTTATTATAATTAAATTAATTAAAATTGTGTAATTGAAAGTAAATAATTTTCGAGGGATCAATAATTCGAACTCAAAAAGTTCACTTTTATTACTTGAACGTGATTCGTCCACTTGCAATTTGCACTTTCATAGCGAACAGTTCTCACTATTATTCATTTCCTCATCATACAATCACATATTTACATTTCCAATCTCGATACTGTTTTTTCCAGATATAAAGATTTTGATTTGTAAGTATGCTTGAAAATATGATGTTCGGATAAAGTAAAAAACCAACTTCTTTCTTTGGATAATTTCATTAAGCATTGTTAACCATTTTACCAAAATAAATCAAAAAAATATTTTCTGCATTACAATTGACAAACGGCATTAACTTTCTAAGTTTCAAGTGTCCTGTTACCAAAATTCTTTCACGCACCGGTGTAAATGAATATTTTCAAAGGTCACATGAATTCTATAAAAATCTCAATATGAAAGTAGGTGGAAGTCAGGAAACTCTCATGAATTCCGTATAAAAATATAAAAGTTGTCACTAAAACGCCTTTAAAAGTCTAAAATGAATGCATCCAACAACATAATTTTGTGTGTCAGCCACAAAGCCAGTTTTTTTTTTCTTTATTTTAAGGGTTGTCAACGCAGACAGTCCTTAAGTTTTATATTTTTATATTTTTTATTATTTTTCTATCAGACTTTAACTGATACTTTGGTCAACTTTAATTTTTTTTGACCTTTTTTTTTTGTTTCTTTTGTCACCAAGTTGAATTTTTTTTCATTTTTCCCACTGATTTGTCATGTTCATCAGATTTTGCATTTATTTTTTGACTGAATTGGCTATAAATTCGCTTCTCAAAACCATAGAGCAACCAATTCATTCTAGTCTCATCTTCTCAACCAGATTTTTCTTCAGCAATTAGTTTATTTCAGTGAGATATTTACTTGCCTTGGATTTATCATGGTGTATTATCTATTTTTAAAGTGACTACAATATATATATATATATTGTCATATTCGTAATGAAATGTGATTTTGTGCGCATTTAATTTTTTGTGGAACATGTTGCAAGAATGAGAGCGGTAGGCCAGGTATTCCCTAACACATTGCATAGATTATGTTTATGGCACATATTCAACAAATTTCTAGAGAAGATGGGTCCCGTACTTTATAAGGAAATGTACCATAATCTGGTAAACATCATTATGGAGTCTGAAAGTCCTTACGAGTTTGAAAGCCGCTGATCTGAAGTGAAGGAGACCACTCGCCTAGGGGATAACGAGTGGTTGTGCAATATGTATGAAATACGAACTCGTTGGATACCAGCATACATGAGACACATCTTTTCTACAGGGATGTCTAGCAGTTAGCGATCAGAAAACAACCATGCATTTTCAAAAGATACGTAGGCAAGAAAAATACGTTGATGGATTTCATCACAAGATTTTCCAATGCCCAGGCACACCAACGATATGGGGAATTGGCTGCAAATCACACTGACTTGAACGAGCAGCCTCAGATGACAACGTCAATCGCAATGGAAGTTCAGATGACCAGTATTTATACAAAGACAATTTTCCTACTCTTTCAGATAGAGCTTGTACAAAGTACTTACTATCTTTGTTCGAAGATATCAACATACGAGGGTCTCAAAACATATTTTGTCATGCGTTTTGAGAATGGCAAAACGTATGATCGACAACGTGAGGTTCTCCACTACACGATGACTGATATTATAACATGCAGTTGTCGAACATTTGAGTTCGAAGGATATCCTTGTCGTCACATGCTTTCATTAATGATCAAGAAACATGTTATGTTGTTACCAGACCACTATATTGTACGTCGATGGACCCAGACTGCAAAAGCAATTCCCATTTTTGAACCAATTGTCGATCCATCTACTGGTCATTCTTTAATTTCACAACACGGGGATGCTGTCGCGCACTGCATCAGAGTTGGTCGATGAGGGAGCCTCAACCGATGCTCGAATCACATTTCTAATGGATGGGTTTCGTAACTTGAAATTACATGTAAAGGATGTCGACGACGGCGTTGATATGCGAATGAGTAGAATGAAGAACAAGAGTAAAGTAAGTACCCAACAGTGGTTGATCCTACTCCGGTTAGGACGAAAGGGTGCGGAAAGCGATTGAAGTCGTCGAATGAGTTAGCCATGTTCCAATCTCGGAAAAATTGTCGTGGATGTGGTTGCAGTGGACATGATAGAAGAACTTGTCCAGCTTTACAACCGAGGTGAGTTGATAGACGATATCATGTTTAATCTTTCATTTTTTTTCCCAATAATATGTTTAATC